TGATGTGAGGCCTACAGAGCATCAAAGCTTGTTGCACATTCTAGTACCTTGTTGCCAAATATGTCCTGGAGCTACCATTTATTCAATCATATTAAAAATAATTTGGTCAGTTGATTTCTAAGGGAAAAATCTCATGGCTGTTTTATTTTTATTTAAACCATTTTTGCTTTTTCATGACCTGGAAAGCTCTCAGCAATTTACAATAATTTGCGTATCACAAGTGTAGAGATATATATTTAAATACTAAAATTAGAGTTGTCAGTATCATTGTATTTCTATGTGAAAACAGGACAAGGAAAAAGGTTACTATTAAAAATGTGATACTGTAGAATAGTTATATGGCTACCATAGACTGCTAAAAAGATAAATCAGTGAGTCTAAAAGAAAAAAACAAAATCAGGCACTAGCTTATTGGTTATAAAATCAGCAGGCCATAGTATGGTTTTAGTATTCTTGATGCATGCTTTTAGTATTCTTGTTATGGTTTTATATTATGTGTTAATGTTTTAAAATGTTGTATTGTGTTTTTAAGCATCGAATCGTTGCCATTGTAAACTGCCCTGAGGCACCTAAGGGCTGAGAAGGGCAGTATACAAATATAGTAAATAAATAAATAAAGTATGATTTAAGCACAACAAATATTCTCCACTATCCTCTTCCTTTCCTACATGTCAGTTGGGAAGGAAGAGCTTTCACTTCTGTGGACAATGAGATGCCTGACTATTGCAGCTGTTCTCTCTCGACATTTTTTCTCATTATAGCACATTGATCCCTCTTTAAATGCCAGATCAAAATCCTATGGAATATGGGAGTCTGTTGATGCACTCAAGGAACTCTCTGGTCATTCTAAATATCCCTTCCTAGATAGTACATCTTGGGTTTCCATAAAATAAAGTGGTAACAGTTAAAGTGGAATACTTTATAATTATAGTATTATAATCTTTGTTTGATTAGAGAGATATCTGAACCAGGGTAGACTAAATAAAAATAAAACTACTTCAGCCAGTCTTGTTGAATTTTCCACCCCAGAAACCATTCACTTGTCTACCTTGCTCTGCTCATAGTACTGGCATTTTGTGAAGAAACAGGAATAGCCAGCTGGGGTGGAGGTAACTATCAAATTTGGCAAATGTTACTTTCCTAATCTCTACAATTCCCATCAAGCTACCATGCCCTTGGCTCAAATTTAGGGAATTACTGAGTGACTGGCAGCTAATCCTGTTTGCAAGTCTTGTCTTACACAGCGAGGTGACAACCTCAATGGTAGTGATGCCTGGATAGTGGGAAGAAGAGTGTATGTGCACACACCATTCTGCCCTGGGCCCACTATACTAGCCTGCTGCTTTCTGGTTCAGTAGATAATGCTTTCATTTTGATAGTATTGAATTAAATTTCAAGATGTCTTTTATACATGTAATTGGAGAGAGATACTGTGTTAATTTTTATTTCAGGCAACAAAACATATTGATCCAGCCCTGCTTGTGCAACTAGCACAAATATTTTCTGTGGGAGTCTGTTGTTTGCACCATTGCAGCAGGTGATGAGGTATGAAAATTTCTTTCTTTCTTTTTTTTTTTTTTACTGTGGATGCTCACTCAGCTCAGTAATGTAGGGTTACTCTAAGACAACTTTTCTTTGAAACATTTGGAGTTTTAAAGGTGTTGTAAAAGGCTCCCACAACTGTTTCAGTCATAATATATATTAAAGGTCGCTTCTCTCCCTATGTAAAGTGGTTGTGTCAGCACAAATTACATCAGATAGTTACATGAGAAATGAGTGGGATGTTGAAAGAATTTACATAAGAAAGCTATCCATTTGTGAACTTTGTATCTACTGACAAGTATCTCTTTGGGACTGTGTTTCTTTCTGTTGTCTTTAGGCAATTTAAAAAGGTTTCTGTGTAATTAAGAATTTTAATTACTTCCCACTCCTCTTTTCTTTTTCTACTTATATTTTTAGGTAAACCAATGTCATATAATTTCCCCTTTTTCTCAGTTGGTCACCATTGTTGGAATACATTGAAATATTTAAGGAAGCAGGGACGTTGATGGTATTTGAAGAATTAGCCTGTTAATTACTTTCTACATCTACCGTATATTCTGGGGTACTAGATGACTTTTTAGGCATGTAAAACCTTATAAAATTTTGGGGGTTGTCTAGTACGCCAGGTATAAAATTAAAATAATAAAATTACCAGTAGAGCCTCTTGGTGTGGAGGGCCYTGGCCATGGGCTCCCCTCCTCCTCCTCCTCCTCCGCTGCCTTGGCTCATGGCAGCAAAGCAGAGATAGCTAGCAAAAAATTAAAAAGTGTGCGGTGTCTTTAAATCTCTCCTGCCTCACCCTCGGAACTCGACATACATATAAAGCATCCCCACTTCRTGGATTTTCACTTTTTGCAGGTAGTCCTGGAACTTACCTGCGGTAAGTGAGGGAACACTGTATATCTAATTTAGAAACAATATACTTTTTGCTGARTTTAGATGGCTTTCAGTAAAAATAAAGATAGGCATTTAACAAAGACATGACAGGATATAAAAACATTTGTGTCGTTTCATACCTGACATTTCTAGATAGTGCTAACCTTTATTTCTGAGATTATTGATTGCAAGCATTCAGATACGTGCTTATGAAATAAATGCCTGGGCTGGAGAACTTAGAGAAAGATAAGACACCCCCCCCCCCCAATAATATTTTAACATTAATTCTCTGCTGGAACATTCTCAGTGCACTTTGTCTTCTTCCCCACCCACACTGTAAAAGTTGGAATCTTTGCTTTTGGAAGTGCTGGACATTGTTATCTTCAGAGAAATGAACTATAATACAGTAGAGTCTTGTATCCATGCTTTGCTCATCCAACGTTCTGTATCATCCAGTGCAGTCTGCCTCCACAGCTGTTTCAATACATTGCAATGCTTTGGTGCTAATTTTGTAAATATAGTAATTACTACATAACGTTACCATGTGTTGAACTGCTTTTTCTGTTGATTTGTTGTAAAACATGATGTTTTGGTGCTTAATTTGTAAAATCATAAAGTAATTTGACATTTAATAGGCTTTTCCTTAATCCCTCATTATCCAACAGTTTTGCTTATCCAATGTACTGCCGGCCCGTTTATGCTGGATAAGCAAGACTCCACTGTAATTCAATATTGTAATTTATTTTAGAATTGCACTTTTTGTAGAACAGAAATAAATGTTGCTACATTATTCAGTTATTGTAATTGAAAACACATTAACCATGTCTGCCATTAATGAGACCATTCAAAATGATGCATTTTTTACAGGGACACTTTATTTTTGTTTTTATGTTCAGACATTACAATCTTCATTGATGTTCTCAAACAGTAATTCCCTCCTTTTGCCATCAGTAGCTAAGGTGAGATTTATCACAGATAATAACTTTGAACTGTCTGTAAGTTACATTATAGAAGAACAAAAATTACAATGTTTTCTTGTGTAACAGCCCTTTTATTAAACTTTTAGAAGTATGTGAGTAAGCTTTGCTCACAAAATGCAACTTTATGCCTTATCTGGCTTTAGAATTTTTACCTGTCCATCGCCGAAAAAGCAAAAGTTTAAAATATTGTCATTGTTGGCAGTAATTTATTCACATCCATGTGTTGAAAAATTAGTGATGTCATAGGCAGTGATTAGAAGGAATGTGCTGTATAAGTTGAATCCGATTTCTCTTTCTTAAACAGCCAATTATTTTTGTACATTAATAAAAGTTCTCCACATCATATGATTTCACATGATTTTAAAGAAAAGAATTGTACTGTCATAGCTTTGCATTTTGACCAACCTATGATAACGTTACCTGAAATATCTACGAGGAAGGAACAACTGCAAAGTGGAATATAGCCAAAAGACTTTTCCACAAATGAATTATGATGAAACAGAAAAAAATGCTCACTACCCTCTCATTTCTCTGCTTCTCAGTAATTTGAAGTGTTGGTTGCAATGATATTTTATATAGCATTTTGAAACAGAAATGTATTATGTATATTTATTCTTTGATTCTAGCTTGTCGCAACATTTAGATTTAGATCCTGCACAGGTATACACATAAGCATTCTGTTTTAATTTTGCTGGATTTGCATAAAATGTAGAATCAGGGCCCAAGATACTATGTAGACAAGACTTTAACAATATTTGAAGAAGACAGGGAAAGCAACTTTGTGTTATACAGCTAACCATTTGTAAAATGTCACTGCAAAGCATGTGAATTCTCATGCCAAACAAAAAGTAGTACCAATGTTTAATCCATTATATAAACAAGGTATCTAGCTATAACTCAGCTTCACAGGATAAGCAGATTGATAAAGCAAGTCATGCAAACATGCCCAAGATTTCTAGACTGATTTTGTTGGGTGTTAAACTGTAAACCTGCCCCTGAACTACACCAGCTCTTTCTTTCCTTTTGCTTGCCATTGGTCTCTTCCAAGGGAAATATGGGAACTATGATATGGATCCTGTGGCCAATCCTACTTGCAGGATACTGGAGTAAGATTTCCATATAAAAAATCCAAAAGCAGAACAGAGGCCTGAATACAATTGTTTGTTCTAATGAGAGTACTGAATGAAGTGGAAGTATTCATTCACTGAATGAATGGGGGCTAGTTAAATCAACAAATATACTGTATGTCCCACTGATTCAGGAGATCTCATCTCGTTGGCACTAAAAACTGGATTTAACCCAACAATTGCTACAATGTGTATTCATTAGAGACTGGTGTAACAGGGACTGTTCTTAAATAAGGGCTATCATTTCCATTTGTTTAACTGCCATTAATGGAAATAAAACTATTCTATAAAAAGGGGGCATCTAACAACCATAGTGCAAAATATGATAATTTTAAAATTGTTTTCCACTTATTTTAAAATGTGCAATAAAAATAATTTTAAAATGCCAAAAAAGGAATTTCAGTATTAGCCTTTTAAAAATATCTGTACATGGAATAATTTTAAAATAAACATTTTCAAGTTATATCTCTCAATATTTTTGGTGATCAGGTGCACAAACATTTAAAACAGAGGTGAAACCGATTGTTATTTGAACATTAATTTAACATTCAAGAGAACACCACACTGAAAATTACATAATCCCGAATATATACTAACTGCAGAGAAATTATAAATACATTATAGCTACTGAATACATGCTTATCAACATTCCATCATAAAAATACAAAACAAAAATAAGAAAATCCCTTTACAGGTCAAGCAATTTAATGTGACTAGACAAAGATGATGTACTGAACCAGCCAGTACCATTTTAAAACTCAGACCTCCCTACTGAAGGAGATTGAATACTGCTATAATATAGCATATAGTCCTTTGAAGTGCACATAGGAAACTCCAGACATTGCAGATTTTTTTCTTAAGAGACAAAACATAAAAATCCAAATTAATCCCTGCATTATGACTCTTGCACTGGCAGTACACAAATCCTTAGAGTCTCGAAGAGAAAAGCCTTGATTTGAAAAATCTTATTTCCTTTTCATGAAGACTACTTCCTACATACTGGGGAAATTTAGGGAGGAATCTTCAGTACAATATGGAAAGTTGGAGGCAGAAAAATAAACAAATATAATACAATTTCCATGTGGAAGATTTTTGTACAGCCAATGAAGCCTTTGGATTTAACCTTTGCCTGAAGTACAGTACAATCCTCGTGTCCACAGGGGATATGTTCCCAGACTTCATGTAAATTCGCAAAACCAATAATAAGCCCTATTGAAATGATGAACCTCTGGCCTAAGGATATCATAGAGTTGCACTGAAGGACCTAGAAAATGCCTACAGCGAAATATTTTGTTGGACAAGGAAAAATGAAACCACAGATCCTGCATCCTGTACTGTATACCAATAACTGTTCCACTGGCATAATTTTGAAGGATGGGTCAATATATGCAGTAGTATAAACTGTAATCCAAAAATAACCTTCTCAATAGAGTTATCTGTATTTAATTAAGAGAGTACTTTAGCTGCTGCTTTGAAGCTGAACTTTAATGCATGAGTTCAAACCCCAACTGGGCTGTCATTTTGGAGCTTTGTCTATGAGCTGCCACTTCTTGAGAGTGTTGAGTTACATTTTTGATGAGCTTTGAATACTGCCATCTTTTCTGAGGGGGTGGGGGTGGTAAGGGGAAGAAAGCTATAACCTGAAAATAAGAAGAATTGATTTGTGCTGAAGAATTGATTTGTTGAATTCTGAGAAAATATGAGGGGCAACAGCTGTTGGGATGGAGAAAATCATGTCAATTTGATGGAAAGTAGATAGAGAAAAATAATGCCCATCAAGTGCAATGCAAGCTGTAATTTGCCAAGTTCTTGAGAGCTATTTGGGTATATCTGAAGTCTCAAAGATGACCTATTTTTCTAGCCACTCCAAACAGACAGTTTGGGGATTAGACAAGATAGGGTTGATTGCTGAGGTGTATGTGTTTTAAGAAAAGTTTTTAAAAACTGTTTTTATCTCTTTTAAAATAATGTTTTTATTTATTTCATCCATTTTCATTTCTTGTTCATAAAGAGATCTGGAAGGTTAAGAAATGGAAATATTTATATAAATATAAAGTCCTGGAAACTCAATATGGTGTATGGGCCAATCTAGACACAGGTAAGACATTAGCTTTTCTCTTGCAATAGACCACTAGGTTATTTCAAAATTGTTTTGCAAACTTTGCTCAAAAGCATCCTAAAAAACAACTCCGCATTCATGTAGACAGCTTGCTCATGGCTGAACTGAGGTTAATAAATAAGTTAAAAAAATTCTACTTGCAACTGAAATATTTGGGCCAGTGTCCAATGCTAATGTTTTGTAGCACCAATTTAGTGGCTGTACATTTTCAGAGTTAACACAGAAGCAGTATCCAATAAAATTTTATTGTGCAACTTCTTGCACGGCTGCATGTGCAAGCATGTAATCCATCACAAAAATGCTTATGGAGACTTTCTTTCAGCTAATGTTAAAATTGGCTTTAGGACATGATATGAGATTTAATAAAATCTACTAGTTTTGGAAGCTTTGCATTTTTGTACATCAAGCCCTCTGACACATGGCAAACTACTTTCACATTGAGGAGAGGTTAGTCAAGCATATTTCAAGAAGGGTTTGCCTCCAGGGAATTCTTTATTATATTAAAAGCCTTTGATTTAATAAAGAAGAAGAACGGAACACTCCTCTCTAAAACAATGCTTATATTCTATTAGAGGAAACCCCCAATAAGAATACCTATTATGGAGACATACATCTCCAAACATATGTGGGCTCACGATTACTGATCTGTACTACTTGCAGACACAGGGATGGTGCTGAAAAGTTCTAAGGCACACAAAAACGATGAGGACCCAGTGGCCTGTGTCAACTAAATGCCTGATTTCAAGCATGTCATGACTTGCCCTGCATGCAGGGGTTTCTCACTTGACTTTGAAATTATCTTGGCATGAAGGTAAACAGAAGTTAACAAGTCCAAAGACAATAAAAAAAATTCTAGCATGCAATGTCAATGTATGCAATTCCCAGTGGTTCCTATTTCTGTTCTCTCTTAATTGTTTATGGTTGTTTTCATTGCATACCTTTTTATTCCTACATTAGTTTTAAACAAGTTTAACCACTGGGGGTAAAAAAATCTAAAAGGGAAGCAAGACAAAATTCTAATGGTTTGCTAAGGAGACAGAACTTTGATTCGACAATGATAAAAAACTACTGGTGAAACTGCAAAACTAGATTGTTCCTCTTGGACTTTGGTCTAGGTAGATTTTAATTCTTCCCAGTCTGAGGCATGCATTTTAGGTACAGAACTCATAAGTCACATTCCTCTCACAGGGTTCATCTGTTTCCTTCATAATATGGTCAAATAGAAATCACTATCCTGAAGAGAACCACTAAGAGCTTTGATATGTCTATAGTCTATTTTGCTCATAATTCATGTTTGCAGTGGGGACGAATAGTTAACAGATGGGTCGTTGTCAAGTATGCCAGTTAAGATGCTGGTGTTTGTTACATGCACACTTTACATTTCTTAGTGTGCATTTAAAACATAAAATATGAAATGTAGCAAACAGTTTTTAAAGGGTATGCAGATGGTACTTTTCAGAAGCCTTTTTTCTATGTGTAGACAATCTATTTTTAGAATTCCGTATCTTGAAAACCCGCAGTTTAAAAACACTTCAAAGTTTGTCAAGGCTGTACATAAATGATGGATGCATTCCTTATTGCAATTGCTATATTCTGAAATGCATGGCCAGCTAACATCTAGAATCTAGATAGAGGGCTTTGATTTTTGCAGGACTATGCCAAATGACATAATTCACCAGGACAATGAAAAACAAGACATACGTTAATTAAGCCGAATTAAATCCAACATTTCCATAAAGTCTGGACTTATTGCATGATAGCTGGAGACAATATCTTTGCACAGTTAGCTGAAAAGAAAAATCAATAGTCTTGCACTAAATTTTCAATTTGCATATGAGTATGTGGAGATCAGAAACTGTAAGGAAGGCAATCACCTTTTTCTTCCTCATGTCACAAGTGTAGGTGGTAATCACAGTATCTCAAAAGATGAATATGTTTACCAGTTTCTCATGTTGCCTCTTGAGACTTTAGCATGATTTCGATATTCCTAATAACTGGAAAGTGCTTCCTATGTAGAATGTAGGTCCTTATAACATTTGCGATTCATCATCTGGAGGTGCCATGTCATAAGAAGATTGAAGAATGTATGTTTCTTCAGTAATTGTCAATGAGGTGTCAGCAAGTGTTTATATCCTTTTTCTCTATGAGAAAGATATCCAGTGCTTAAGCTCCTCTATACCCTGCAGTATTCGAGTACAATAAAAGTCCACGTTGGTTGCAAACTCAGTACATACTGGAGATTCTGCATCGCCAAATGTGCAATACAATGCTGTTCCTCCAATACTAAGGAATACAGTTGCTATACATAGTAAGATCAGCAAAATGCACGAACCACCTCCAACTTCCTCTGAAAATATAAGATATATGACATATGATCAATCATACATAGCTTAAGCATTTCAGTTCAGTCATTGAATATTGCCTGGACTGTGTACATCCACTAATTCTGGGAGAATAAAAGCTATAGCACTACCAAAACACACCCGACAGCAGCGGACTGTTGGTTCAAAGAGGAGAGAATAGAATTTCTTTATATGCTGCTGAAAAGACTGAAAAAAAAAACTTAACTTTAAAAAGTTGCCTTTTGGCTTCATGGAAGAAAATGGGTTTTATAAATGTTTAGCTATCCATGGCATATATTATTCCTTTTATTTGTTTTTGCATTTTTATTCAACTTTACTTGGACATGTGCCTGATTAAAACGCAAATAATCAAGGAAGGGATGTTCAGCATTTTGACACCCTTCTCCCCCTTTTTTCATTTTGAAATGGACAAACGATATACAATAACTGGAGCTTCTCCGTGGCTAGTATAGTTTTACAATTTCTGTTAACGTACCACAACATCTATTGGAAGTCTGTGTAACTATGTGATAGTCACCACTGGAGAACTGTAATTATAAAAATGGTGTATGGCTACTGCATATTTATATCTGTGTGAATATATGGATAGACAGATAACAGTGTTGTAATATTATTTTCCATTGTTCTAATGTGAGACAGCACTTGATTGGTTACCTGGAGCACATTGCTTCATATAAACTGTATAATATAAAGTGTGACTATAAACTGCTGCATATGAAATGTGAGTATATTGCTTACTAAATTGCATTACTCCACATACATGGCATAAATTAAGAGACTAAACTGGACATATGTTATGACCTGATTACAATCAGTACCTATGAAGATTCAGATTTGTATGCATTCTCCAAATATTTTATTATATTATAACAGTCAACCTTCCACTTCTGTGAATTTCTGTTTGATGAGTTTGTAGCTGTTGCTTAACAAACTGCCTCCGTTTCTTGCCCAGCCAAAATCACACCCCTTTAATCCCAAGACAACCCCAGCCACCTGTTATACTGCTTCAAGTGAAGCCAATCGCTGGGTTGTCTTGGATGTCTAAATGGATGGAAAAAGGTGGAGTAGAAGGAGAAATTTGAGCCTGTAGTCTTAAAACCACTGATCTTAACTGCATTTTAAATTAATGCTTCTTACCAAGCAAGAATTAAAAGCTAAGACAAAACACATTTACAAAGTTCAGATAATGTTTCAGGGGAGATAAGGCAGGATATAATAATAATAATAATAATAATAATAATAATAATAATAATAATACAAACACATTAACTGAATTCCTTCTAATGTCAAGGTAAATATTAAAGGATAACTAATTAGATAATATGGAACCATTTATAATAATAATAATCATCATCATCATCATCATCATCATCATCATCTTTATTTATATCCTGCCCCCTCACCAAAAGAACTTGGGGTGGCTTACAACAAATAAATACAAAACCAAACAAGAATAAAAACATAACACATAACAACAAAATCAAAAACATAGCAAACTAAACTAACCATATCATAATAAAATAAACAGATTAAATTTGGCAGGATTTATAAACATATTGTGTACCAGGGCAAAACCAGTTCAAGCCAGTTGGTGTTTGTACAACTATAGAAGCCACCATCATATCATAATAAGTTATAGTTAATAATTTCCGAACGCCTGCTTCCACATCCATGTTTTCAATTCCTTCCTGAAAGTATCTAGAGAGGGGGCCTATCTGGAAGACTGTCTTTGGTCTGACATGGAAAAGGCCCATCACTTATAGTAGCAAATCAAGCATCAAACCATCAGCTTGTAACCAAACTGAGGTCACTAAAAAACTAGGGATGTATCAGCATGCTTGGAGAAATTCAGAAGCATTCCTGAAAAATAATAATATCCTAATGCATACCTGTTCCTATATCACTTAGCCATGGAATATATAGCTATGAAGTTTTAGGTTGAGGAGGGGGAAGACAGGAGAAGAATTTAGAGAACCAGCAGTTTATAGCAGGTCTCATTTGTCGTGGTAATCATCAACCGACATGATAAAATCTTTGATTCCTAATGTTCATTAGTCTTTAAAGTCTGCATACATATATGATTCTGTTTAGAGCAGTGGTTCCCAACCTTTGGTCTTCCAGGTGCTTTTGACTTCAGCTAACAGTTTCTAACAGCTGAGAAGCTGGCTGGGATTTCTGGAAGTTGAAGCCCAAAACACCTGGAGGACCAAAGGTTGGGAACCGCCAGTTTAGTGAGATTGACTATAGGGCACACCTGCTATCAGGGTCTTTGAAAATCCAAATAAACATAGTTACAGTATTTTATAGTAAGGATAGGGAACATGTGTCCAGCCAGTCGATGTGGACTATAACTTTCAACGTCCCTCATCATTAGCCATGGTGGGTTAGGTAAATGGGCTCGTGTCCAATCACATTTAGAAACCTTGTGATACCTCAACCCATGTTGTACAGATTCCATTTACTACATGGCTGTGAAAATATGATATTAATGCATAACTTTTAAAATACCTTGATCTAATGTATCATCCATTTCTTGGAATCTCACTCTTCTTTTGGACTGCCTCGTCTGGATTTGGGCAAGAGTCTTTCCTTCAGTGTCATCTCTTTTCTTTAATATGGATACAAGCCCTTCTGTAGGCACAGTCTAACAAGAATCATAGCACAATTATTGTAAAGATGCAGTAATAAGAGTTTCTGAAATATATATATATATGCATTGAATCATGTTTTATATACGATTATAGAACAATATCTGATTCTAGATTTTGCTACTGCAGTTTATTATTACTCTGAAGATTTTTCAAAGACACTTAGGAAATTTGTATTTGAAGCATCATAAATATTGAAGTCCCTATTATTACAATAATACAATGCAAGATAAAATAGATGTATATATGATTTATTACTACAGCTGAAGAGTTGTCTTTATAATTAAAGAATTTCCTTTGAACACTGCACATAGACAATCAGTACAACTACTATCCATCCCTACAAAAAATGAATGTGTTTTCTAGGATTTCTTGCATGGGCAGTGCAAACAACATGACGTGCAGACTCCTGTAATCATGATTAGCATTTTAACAGCTCTGAAACCACAACATAGTGGTGCTGGGAATGTAAGTTATTTTACATAAACAGAAATGGTGTGAATTGAAGAACCAGATAGTGTTAACAATGTTCCTTCCAAAGAATGAGACATTGATAATGACCATATTGTGACCTTAACACCACAACTTATTTTGTAAACATAATTCACAGAGGAGCTGAAATGGACTGATCCCAAGATGATCCATGAAGAAAGATAATTCAATTTCAAATCTTCAGATTTTGCAGTGAGCTTTGAGAGTTGGACTGATTGCTAGGAATTTGAACAGTTTAATTTGAGGCTCTATAGGTTTAGCTCCTATGGGGGTTCTTTTCTCCTAAGGTGGCACTTCGTCCATCAGTAAGGGAGAGGCACAGGGCAACAATAACAGTAGGATTTGCTCTTTACAGCAGGCTATCCTTGTGAGTGTAGGGAGACCAGTAAAGAGAATTTGGACATAATTTCAGCAGATTGTGTAGAGCAGTGGTTCTCAAACTGTGCTCCATGGAGCACTTGGGGCTCTACAAAGCATACTGAGGGGCTCCACGATTCCCTCCTCCTCCCTCTCCAAGCTTTCCCTCCTCTTTCCTGCTCCCCCCCCCCCCGGCCACTAAAAGCCTTTTCCCCTCACCACTTGGAACTTTCTGATGACTGCATTGTTGAAGGTTTTTGACAAAGCAGTTTTTAGAAAGTTCCAAGTGGTGAGGGGAAAAGGCTTTTAGCAGCAAGAATGTGGATGGCACTGAATAGTGCCTGTTGTGAAGCTCCCCTAAGTCCCCCCTCGGGGGTGAGAAGAACAGGGTACAAAAGTACAAAATAAATAAATACAAGTTCTGTAGCAAATTTGTGGATGAAGCAGGCAGCTACAGGATGTATTGGTCACTCTTAAACACCAGGGAATATTAAAGACCCCGTTATTTTCATGCTAAGAATGCACTAGAATATTAAGTTTAATATGAGCTCAAAAATTTTAAATATCCTTCAAAGATACTCAGTTTCAAGGCATCTATTTTTAAATAAAATTTAGGAATGATAACCCAAGCAGTAATTCTAGTATGAGTATTATTAGTAAACCCTTTCAAAATATAAAATCAATAATAAACTGAACTGCTAAAAGCACAAGTATCCAAAGTGAAGATGCTAGCAGCCTTTCTCTGAAGGGAGTATAATTGTTTTTGCTATATTAGAAAAACAATAATGCTTGATAAATTATTCAACTTTCCAGGCTGCCACAGGGTAAATATAGATATCTTACTGTTATAATTTTTTGTGGTCAGAGTAGAAACCAAATACTGTTGAAGTTTTCTGTCCTAAATTATAGCACTGTAAAACCTTACAGGAAGATTGTGACCTTCTGCTGATATTGAGTGACTAAAAATATTCAAGGATTCATAAGAGAGATGACATTCCAAGTCACCTGCACAAATTAAAATATATCTTCAGTTTTCATGTATCTGAACGCATAATTTTCACCTAGAGTAATTCATAAGTATCCATTGTTAAAAGGTAAAAAAAAAAAACCCAACTAAAACACTCACCCTCCCTCCCAACACAAACAATCATACATTATCAGTATGAAACCCATAAGGACCAGTGGGACAAAGAACCAAAAATTATATAAATGGTGAAGAGTATATAGGTGAAAAAATGTTGGGAGACTCAAAATGCACCCAATGCTTTCTAATGTCTGTGGGGGGCACTTTTGCCATGTTTTGTTTCCCGTGGCTGTCCAAAATTACTAAAAACAAAGAAACAAAGTGTCTTAATGGGGGGGGGGCATAACAACATTCCTTTACTTTCCCTAGAAACCATTTGAAGGTATTTTTACCCAGTGAGTTTGGTGGGGATAGATTTGCCCACTTCTTATTTAAATACCAACTTAGGGTGAGTCCCACTATAGGACTGCCTGTTCAACAAATCTGTAGATGCTTGGACTATAGCATATGCATTAATCTTATTAGCAATCAGTTTAAGAGATGGGTGTGCCTTGGGTTTTAACCCCTAGCAGTTTACACTTTGTGCAAGTATTTTCTTTTGAAATGGTAAACAATTTGACACAGATAGTTGAATGAAATCCTTGGTCATATATTCTTATGCTAGCCTATCCTGACATAGCATATTTCATTTTATCTGCAGAATGCATGCAGATAAAATACAAAATCTGGATCAAAGGTTGCAATGGTTAATGGTTAAAGTTTTATTATTATTGCCTTCAAAAAAGTCAACAGAATTTTAATTACCATTATATTTAATTCCGGAGTAATGAATTTTCCTTTTTTAACACAATACCAAGTTCCTAAAATAAGCAGTATTGAACAACTATTTCGTACAGATGATTCCTGCCAGTGTTGGCTCCAGCTTTTTTGGGGGTGAGGGGGGCACAGGGTATGATGATTTAATATGATTTCATATAGCAGGTATTGGTGTGTTTTATTGATCATTCTTTTAAATTGAGGCTGTCTTTTATTTTTTTGTAGTGTGTTGTTTTGTGTTTATTTATTGTTATTGTTTATCACGTGAGTGTAATTTTATGGGTATCTTATGTGTACTATGGCTGGGGAAAATGGAAGGAAAAAGGAAGAGGGGCCGACCAAGGGCAAGATGGATGGATGGCATCCTTGAAGTGACTGGATTGACCTTGAAGGAGCTGGGGGTGGTGACGGCCGACAGGGAGCTCTGGCGTGGGCTGGTCCATGAGGTCACACAGAGTCGGAAACGACTGAATGAATGAACAAATGGCACTATTGGAACCCCTGGTGGCACAGCAGGTTAAGCTACTGAGCTGCTGAACTTGCTGACCGAAACATTGGCGATTTGAATCTGGGGAGCGGTGTGAGCTCCTGCTCTTAGCCCCGGCTTCTGTCAACCTAGCAGTTCGAAAACATGCAAATGTGAGTAGATCAACAGGTACTGCTCTGGTGGAAAGGTAACGGCACTCCATGCAGTCATGCCAGCCACATGATCTTGGAGGCCCCTCTGGACAACGATAGCTCTTCAGCTTAGAAATGGAGATGAGCGCCACCCCCAGAGTCAGACACAACTAGACTTAATGTCAAGGGGAAACCTTTACTTTTACCTTTATGGTACTATTATGTACTATTTTGTAAGCTGCCCTGAGTCCTTCTTAGGAGATGGTGGCAGGATACAAATAAAAGTTATTATTATGAAAAGTTATTGTAGGGCGTCCCAGCCTGAATAAGCCACCTTTCCCCCATTGTTACTACAGCCCTCCTTCCTCTGAGCCCAACATGCATATAACAGTGTAGTTACAGGAGAGGTGGTGTAAAATGAGGACATTGTCCTTATAAGCAGGAATAGGGAGGAGGAGTTGCTCAGCTGAACAGAAGACTTTGGCTGGTGTGTGGGCATGGAGAAGAACTCAAAACTCCTGGCTCCTGATACCTGCTTTCATTCTTGGAAATCAATTCACAATTAAATATTAAAGCTAATGTACATATTATAAAGGAAACAAAGGAAATCTTCTGCCTTTCTTATGCCCCCTAATATGCATAGGAACAACAGCCCAACCAGAATATTATCTGAAATTATTACAAGATATCTCTCTGCCCTGACACAAAATTTCCATTCCATGTCTTTTACTTTCAACTGATTTATATCTTTCCAAGGCTGATGCTGCAAGCTGACTCAGCCTAGGAAACAAGCTCCCTCTAGAGACAGCCAATATTCCTCCATATTTGGTTGGAGAGATTGCTGTCGAATGATGCAAGGTACAGTCTGTGCCCTATTCAGAGACCAATGTCTTCTTGTGAAACACTCTGAACCCAGTTCAAAGAAGAACAAGCAAGCGTTAGGCATGATATAAGTACATTTGTCTTTTTACAATAAGAGAAGATGAAAGGTTGCAAGGGCAAAATACAGTTGATAATACTCAAATGTTTGCTACAATTGTCCACTACTACTACTACTACTACTACTAATAATAATAATAATAATAATAATTGTTATTGATATTATTTTAGGTTAAAAGTTTACCAAATAACCTAACTAAATTAATGGGTATTGAAATTTAACAGGCAAGATTTTAACACAGAAGCATGTTAAATCATACATTTTACAGTCTATTTATGTAAATGTTCATATGCTGAAAGAAAAAAGCAAATAGCATTGCGAGATCTTTTTCAAATAGTAATAAAAATGTTTTTAGCCTCACTGTCCAAAATTACTAAAAAGGTGTTTCTTTTAAAATTAAAACTATAACAGTATTTAGCAAAAGTCTTGGCTTTACATTTTTCAGTATTTTATACATCTGGATTACCAGGACATTTGAAACTACAGTGTATTACAAATGCTGCTCTACTTCTCCGTGCTGTCTGTCAGCTAGCAGTAAGATTTGGATAGGAAAAGAGTATGACCCTAACATATTACTCTGTGATAAGTATCAAAACATCACATTCTTGCTATGTTAAAGTCAATATTATGTGCTTTTATAAAACTCGTATGTTTCAGGGTTTAGTTTCCATAGAAAATAAAGAAATTATTTGGTAATTTTAAAAGCATTTTATGCCCGCTTCACTGTCCATTTATTAAATACAAGGTCTTTCTTTGCCATAACTTTGATACCTTCCTGCTGTATTCAAGGTAACAACATTATACTGTCTTTAATTTCTCAGGGAAGGAAAATGTGTTTTCTCTGAAAATTTCAAAATATGGGCATGCATGCACATTTTCAATGGATTTTTGCAACATAAAATTAAATATTCCCTTAAGATTTTTTTTTTGGGGGGGGGGATAAGCTGGAATATAGTAAATATACCTTATCCTTACACAGAAACAACCTATTAGAAGAGTTGAAGACTGCTTAAGAGTATTCCTAATAAACCTGGAAAACAATCTCTGATCTCTTAATGGTCAGTAGAGTCAGAACTTTTAGCCCTGTCCTGTGCCAAAATATTGCACAGATGGCTTTCCACATCTTTAGAGCAATGTTTTCCTCCCTCAGATATTGAGGGAGCTGCTGCAGTCTGAGAAGACTGTGCCCCCAACATTATACCGAATTCCACTTTTGCATAGGTCCACCTTGGATACAGCTCAATATTTAAAGTATTTCTGTGTACTACTGGAGTTAATGATGGTACTATTGACACTCAAAACAAACTGCAAACTACTGAACTTATATGAAAAAGCAACCTTGTTCATATTGCCTTCAAAAAGATTTTAAAGAAAAAGATAACAGATGACGAATTCTCCTTTTGGCTTCTACGGATGAAATCATAACCTGCAATAGATAGTTTTCAGTCCACAGCATCCTAGAATACTCAACTCAGAGGCATGATGGGACCTCCCAGCCAGCTATAAAAGGTGGGTGGGTGGTGCCTTAAAGTTTAGTTTCTGATAGGCACCTTGGGCTTTGGAGCAGCAAAGCAATGTGCTCATAATGTGATTGTTTTTATAGAAAACAAATGTGATTGTTTTTCATCAGACAGCCATGATTGCCATTTACCTTAATATGAAATAAAGAGGTAGTTATACCGATTGTTCCAGATAGTTCTTCCTCAGCACATGAGTGCTACAACTGCAGTTTATTGTAAATGCTGTGGCCTTGAAAAATATACAGGTTGTAATTTTTTTTCATTAGAATCATTTAATCCAAAAACATGCTTTACTGATCAAATTTATTAAGAAGGAGAAATCAAAACATCCTCTTAAACATGCATTCTATTTCTAAATCAGATGTCTAATAGTTAGAAAAAATCAGGGAAGAGAAGTAAACACAAAAACCAGAAAATAAGGTTATTTTTGCAGTATTTACCTCAGCAATCTCTATCCGTTTTGCCAGTTCGTCGAGTGAAGAAAAGCTTTCATCCAAAGCATAACCATCTGAATTATAAAGTGCTTGATCAGACAGCATATGTGAAGCAATTTCAGAGTCTCCTTGGCCTTGCATAGACTCTTCTCTGTCTTTTAGGCAACCATTTAAAAACCTGTCAAAGAAATCTTCTGGTCCTTCGTGTTCCTCTTCCAGAACTGTTGCTTCCTCTTGTCTTCCTTCAGGTGTGGCACAAGACTGTATAGGTATACTACTTTCAGCACTCCCATCATCACTGATATCTGATGTTCTGTCCTGGTCAGATTTCTTATCACTCCCATAATCAGGCTGCTGCTGCTGTTGGTTTAATATGCTGCTTTCGAGCTGGCTGCTGGGAGTCACAATAGAGCCAGAACATTGTTTTGACCTGAGTAAGTTTCTTTCAGATGGAACATTTTCATCTGTGGAAAACAGATCATCAGCATCTGTCACAATCAATGTATTTACCACTGGCCCACTAGAGCATTCTGCTGCAAGCTCCTCAGTAGCTGTTTCTATTTCTGCCGCATCCTCAGAGAACTGTTCTTCTCTTAGCGGCCGACTGTCATCTTCACTAGCATCCCCAGATGATAAACAGTGAGAGCGAGGCATGCTCTGATTATCTGTGGGCCAAGTAGGTGGCTCCTGTGTTGATTCAGCAATGCGCTGTTGTTCCTCCTCCATGTGGTCCTTCTCCACAGCTAGGCGATGACCAGCCCTCTCCTGAAGCATGTGATGGCTTTTAGATTGAAAGCGCTTGCTTCTTTCCCTCTCTGTGTGATGATTCTCTTTCTTTGGCCCAATGCCAGTCCAAGTTGGTGTATCTAAACGCAACAGGAAAAGCATTCAAGCATTACAAACTAATTCAATATATCAGCATCACAGAGTGCATGCTTGAAAGAGAGAGAGAGAGAGAGAGAGATAGAGAGAGAGAAATCACTAATCTGATAAGACTGACCATTAATGCTTTGAGTGAATTCCTGTCTGGCAGCAGTGACTCTGTTACAGTGTATTTATTTCATTCATATGCTACCTTTCTCTGAGTGAGAACCAAAGCAGCTCAAAAAAAAAATCAGTTAAAACCTGGTGAACAATTCAAATCTTCATTTAAAACTGTATACAATTAGTTAAAAAGAACACAAAATTTCTATAAACAAATAAATAGTGTATATCCCAGTAAAAAGCCTCTCTACACAATTATAATTATCATAGGGATTAAAACCATATTTTATTTAGAGGACAGTTTCCTTGAGGTTAACAATGAAGAATACAGACATCTATAGAAAATTTGCTACACTCTGCATGAATTGTATATCCATAATACTGTACATTTTCAGTTCACTGTATTATGATTCTAAATGTGACATTTCTAATTTTTAATTTGAGATTTCCTAAGGGAACTTTCACAAGTGCTATGCATTAGTTCTCTGAAAATCTCATATTTTACTTTAAACTACATGTAAAGTATTTCTGATACCTCCTCTGCTTTTTAGTAACCTATATACATTTTGTCCTATATCCAAAGAGGTGATGTTACAAACTGGGCTTGGAATTTCAAGTTCTATACCTCCTTTCAATCAAACTGCAAACTAGAGGTCTCACACGCCTTATCCTGCTTCCAATATTTTAAAGCCCAGAATTTAATATGACAAAAATGGCATATTTATCATGTAAGAAAACATTAGGCAGTAGAGCATAATGACATGGACTCAGGGAATGCTATCCTCAGTTTCCACATCTTATTTTTTTTAAAATGCCAATTTATAACAAAGTATGTACACAAACATGTGAAATAATAGGTTTTTTTTCAGTAAGGTCACATGAGGACACAGCTATTATGATAGCAATAATTGTGTTATTGTGTGGAAGGTACAAAAAGTTATTTTGATATTTTGTAAGTAACAAAAAGGAAGAATACACTTTAAAGGTTACTTTTTGAGCTACATGATGTATGATAGAAACCTGACACTCTGCTTGCCAGTACTGTTGGCCACGGTGCCACAATATGAAAGCACCATGTTCTGCATTGCATCAAAGAAACATTAATTGCTTTCTATCTGGGCTCCACTTAACAATTCCAGTGAAGGTTCAATTTTCCACTGAAGACTATGTTTAGGGATAGGTTTTAGTTTGCAAGTGACGGATATGAAGGAGTTGCATTGTCTAGAAAAGGTTATTTTAGCAGAGTGCCACCCTCCACAAAAAAAGAAAAGAAAAGAGACTGACAGTAGATATCATGGGGATGAACATCTCCTGATGTGATGAGAGAACTCTTCTCTATACTGTTGATGACATTAGTTGGGACTGTGGGCATTAACTTTGAGAAAATCATGAATATGATGGTTCATTAGAATCATAGAATCATAGAGTTGGAAGAGACCTCATGGGCCATCCAGTCCAACCCCCTGCCAAGAAGCAGGAATATTCCATTCAAAGCACCCCTGACAGATGGCCATCCAGCCTCTTTTTAAAAGCTTCCAAAGAAGGAGCCTCCATCACACTCTGGGGTAGAGAGTTCCACTGCTGAACGGCTCTCACAGTCAGGAAGTTCTTCCTAATGTTCAGATGGAATCTCCTTTCTTGTAGTTTGAAGCCATTGCTCCGTGTCCTAGTCTCCAGGACAGCAGAAAACAAGCTTGCTCCCTCCTCCCTATGACTTCCTCTCACATATTAGGAAGAGAAGCAAAGTATTATTGAAAGGGAAAAAAATAGGGAGAACAAAAGGAAATCTAACAGCACTTTTAAGATGAAATTATTTATATTTTAGAAGTGTTCATGGATACCAGTACACTTCACTTTTGACTTTTAACCATGAAAGTTAAAATTGTCCTTGCTCCATTATTGACCTGAGCTGGTGAGAAAAAGGACTGAGTTCTTGGTATTATCTGAAAATTCGAGGGATGAATCATCCTTTTTATATTGCCCCTTGCTAAGTACATCTATGAGCCAATAACGTCAGTGTTTGATGGTTATTATTGCTGTTAATGGAGTTGTAATTCATTTATAGTGCAGCCCTAGAAAGATCTCCTCAGAATCATGTTTCGTTGAGTTAATTAGGATTTATTTTTAATAATGCCAATCTATATTTTCAGTTTTGCTACATAGAATTCTGTATCCAATTACAAAGTCTGTGAAACCTTCAACCAGTTGTGTATAAATGTTAAAAGCAGCAAAGAGAAGACTTAAAAGATTAGGGGAAGAAGGAAAAACATGCAGGAACCAATCTAGAAAACCTTAAGTTAGGTATCTGTATCATGACTGTCTTCAGTATATTTTCCTATTTTCATTTTATCAATAGTGGTATGAATGTGCAGAAACCATTTTAATGTTGGGGAAATGAATGATACTATTTAAATACTATGTTCTTTGCAAAAAAAAAAAGTCTAGGACATCAAAACTATTTTCAATATGTCAAACTATACTACAAAAATGTTTCTAATAGGAATGATCTCTTTACACATGCCAGCATGTACCTTCTACATTTTAACTTAGATAAATTATGAGCAGGATACCTGTATCATTTGCAGCAGAAGGTTTTTCCTTTAAATCTTCTGATATCATTAAACCTATCAAACTCTGGTGTCTCAAGGATTTTTCTGTACTTATGAGCTGAAAGACAAAATTGTATTTTTATCATTTAATACTGTTACTTTTAAAAAAAATTACATGAAACAAATGTTATGGGAAATAAGCTCTTTTTATTACTTTTAGGAAAATATAAGAACCTCCCAACACTTAATTATAAAACTATGCCAAGGAATATTTTATAGCTTACCTTGCTTCTGGACATAAGCGGCCTGCAACCAAAAAATAAAGTAAAAAAATTAAACAGCTGCTTTCATCCAAATGTTCTTCACAACAAACGTCATAAAAACTAGATGACAAATCAGATTTGTTCTCCCCATGCTCTAATATTAGCACAGAAGTTTCCAACACTGAAACATTATCTGTGCCAGCATAGTTTTAAAGCAGTGAGGCAGACCATATGTTAACATCATTACAAATGCCAATGATCACTAATGGCCCTGAAGGTAGACAAAGTGGTAAAATCAATACAGGATGTGAGGAAACCTTACAACAGTTGTTTATACAAATGCCTCCATTAAAAACCCCACATAAACATCCTGAGTTGACTTCTCAATTTGCTGCAGGTTTCAGCTTAACTTTGGATTTTTTCTGATATTCAGTAGCATTTGCACAATGCATTTATTTTTTCTGTTTTGCTCTGTAATAAGGGCTCTTTTCTCAAGAAGGAAAATAAATGTGAAATCAAAACTGTCAGCACAGCTCAAAAAGGTTATCCCACAGGCTAACAGGACACTCATTTCCCAACTCAGTTTCTTATGTGAGAAAAACAGCACTTTCCCTAAGCAAAAGAAATTACAAGAAGCACCCCATTTGTGCTTAAGTATATCCACAGAAAAGAACTCCGGAAAGGCCACTACTCTAAATAGAAAAAGGTATAGAAAAAGGTGGAGTGAAGTAGAATAGTGAAAAAAACCAACAAAATAAAGACTATTCCCTGAAAAAAAATACAGCTAGCTGATTGGCATTACAATGCAATAAAGTTTTCTTTCTATTTGTGTTTTAGACTATCTGACGTGTACTTGGTGCAGCATCTCTCCATGACCCATGGGGCTCTTACTTTACTAACCCCCTCCTTTAACATGAGAAGTATGATCATCCATCTCCCTTTTTTCCCCCAATACCTTTTAACCTGAGACTTAATAGCAGCATCTTAGTCCTCGTCTGATTTTCTGCTTCTCCACTTTCCTCTGGGGGTTTTCACAGTAATATCTCCTATCCTATCTTTTTTTAGCTCTACAGGCAGTCCCTATGCTATCCAAAGCTAAGAATATGTATTTTTGGCTGGAGTTACACTTTAAAAATGTACCTGTTCTGACTTACACAGATATTCAACTTAAGAACAAACCTACAGAACCTATCTTTGCTCATAACTTGGAAACTGCTTGTACTATATCTATTGCTGTTTAGGTCGGCACCAAATGCCTCTAATGAGATTCCATGAGACTTTGTGTTTTGCTGCTGCTCTCCCTCTTTTTTAAAGCTCAGAGATTTTCTCCTGTTCTCCTCTCCCCCTTTTAAATAGCAGGAGTCTTAGCAGCAATGCCTTAGTCCCCTCCTGTTTTCCTGTCCTCTCTTGCTTCGGGAATCTTTATAGCAGCACCCCAGAAAACTGTATTTTTGCCTTTTAAAACAAACCCACAGTACATTATGTCAAGCCTTACTTTTGATTCTAGGCAGCCACCCCACTTGGAGTTTTGCTATCAAACTCCACACTTAAATGACAACCAAAACAGTCTGTCAAATTATGAGGAATCTAACATGACAGCCTGATGAATAAATTGATACATTCTCTTCACAATTGATTAATGACTAAGTAAAACAAACCCAAAACGAAAACACGTATATGGAATTATTAAACATAAACCTGATAGTTGTGGAATATAAACATGGAAAAAGATCATGTAGAATGCAGTCCAATGCAGTGTGGATTCCCACACTGTACTGGACTGCATTCTACATCAATGTAGAGTGTAAAATAGTTTCTAATATGTTCTGTCATAGTTTACTGCTATTCATTGTACCTCTCCCAGAAGCTCAAAAGCAGCCCTGTGAAGTAAGAGTTTAATGGTTGGACATGGCCTTGATAGTTGGTGCCCCTAGTCTTAGCCCTTGCTCTTCTTCTAAAGAAGTCAGATGGCTACACAAACTACTCAATATTGTCCCCAAGACTGTGGACTGATCCTGAGATCTTCTTACATATGTAAATGTTTGGTTACTGAATTACTGGATATCACACGCTGTTTGAAATTCATTGTCCCTCAAGTCAGAAAAACAAAAAGATAAAGCAAATAAGTTTGTATTGAAACTCTCCAGATCAGAGAAAATATCATAAAAGATTAATGAGTCATCAATTCAGATTTTAGCCATAGATCCATCTTCATACATTCTGAAGGGATTTTTGACTTTTCTATAATGGAAACATTTATAGCAAAATGTCTTGAGACAAGTAGAGCCACCCACTCCTTGGAAATGTTTTAAAAATAGAAAAGATCCCCAACAGAAAATTAGAACAGATCCCAATAGTCAGAAAGAAACCAAGGACACAGAATATAAGCCTGTATAATTCCCCTTTGAAACACTATCCAAAGAAGTCACAAACAAGACCATTACAATGCATTACTGGTCGGAACTGTATTTTCAAGCATTTCTGTGCTTGGAGAACATATTTACTTTAAATTGCAGACCTGTCTAGGTAATGATCAAGAACAAAGCTAGATTTTATTTGCTGGTAAAATAACAAAATGCATCAATTATTGCTCCAGCTTTTTAGAAACTGCATGTGACAAACTTTATTCTATACAACATGAAACAGAAAGACCAAAACAGCAACAACATTAGAACAGGACAGGCAACCTGCTGCCTTTGGGTCATGTACAACCCTGATCCTTGCTCCTTTTCCCAAGTCTCTTTCACTCATGTTTATATTGTTTTCCTTCCTGTGACATAGCCTGATAAGTGGTTTTAGATATTTCCTATTACAAAATTCTTGTTTTGAACTAAACTGTGATGGTTTGGATGTCAGTCATAATGACTTAGCTTTCAATTGGCATTCCTAACATAACCCATTTAAATAATAATAAAATGATAATAATAAACTTTATTTGTACCCTGCCACCATCTCCCCAATGGGGACTCGGAGTGGCTTATATGAGGCCAAGCCCAACAACACAATACAATAAATGAAATAAAAACACAACAGCATGATAAAGTACATAATCCATAAACCATAAGAATACAGTACATTATAAAATTACAATAAAATCATTCATAACACAGAACAGTGAGCGGGTCTCATGTACAGAATAAAATACTAAGGCTAAAAACATGGGGTGAGGTAACAATGAAGCAGATTATTTGTGAGGGAGCAACTCTTCCGGGATGGGGTAAAAAAGGATCTTCGTACAGAGAGGGAGGAGGTATGCACTAAAGACCGATGTTGAAGGTTAATAGCAATGAGAGATTATACGGTTAATCTCCAAAAGCGCAGCGGAAGAGCCAAGTTTTGAGATTCTTCTTAAAACTTTCTAATTTTGGTTTGCCTAATCTCACCGGGCAATGTATTCTATAGTTGGGGGGCCACTGAGGAAAAGGCTCTCTCCCTTGTAGCCACAAGGCAGGCCTGAGATAACAATAGGGGGTGAAAGAAAAGCCTCTCTCGAGGATCAGAGGGATCGGGCAGGTTCATGGAGCACAAGTGGTTGCTCTCACAGACCCAAGGACCCTCTCCACATCATCCGGCAGAACAAGACAAAAAGAATCCCATAAGATTGAACAGGCACCTTGGTTACCTCATCTGGTACTGCATTAAAACTGGAGTCCAGCTCAAGATGTATCTGAGCAACTTTGTCTGAAAGATGGTGTGCAAAATCGCTGCACTGAGTCCCCGAGTCATCAGGAAGCCCCCCAACCTCAGGAGCTCGGAGGAGCTCCCCAACAACCCGGAACAACTCTGATGATCTGTTTGCTGCAGACACTATGCGAGCAATCGAGAATACTTTCTTGGCTGCTCGCAAAGCCACGGAATAAGCCTTTGTCAGGTTTTACAATGTATTGTAATATAATAAACCGAATCATGCACTGCTAATGGGCTTCTGTTGGGAATGCTGAGTCATGCATTGATTGTATATGGGGAATCATTTGGGGAGTGTACTCTGGCCTACTCCAGGTGATCGTGAATGATGCAATCCTGGGTTTGGGTTAAGTCAATTAGTTGGTAACCAATCAGAGATTGCCATGTGTAAATGAATTGTATATAAGGAAATATAAGGAAATTATGTACAGTGTATATTTCTCCTTGTGTCGTGATGTTGTGTTGTCGAAGGCTATATGTAATTAAAGAACCTGTCTGCTAGGACAAGATATGGCTGCGTTCTATGGTGAGTCTGTAATATCATCTAGACTGGGGGAAAGACAATGGTAAAATTGACAATGGCCGGGGATGTGCTCAAGTGTTTGTAAAAGGTTCCAGTGTGGCTGCAGGCTGTGGGAGCAGTTGACTGAAGAGAGCTGTGCAGGAAGAAGCTTCTGGAAAGCGTTGAAGTTGTGCAATTGATCTGCTGCTGAACTATGAAGTTAATCTTAACAGCCTTAATAGTGGCTTTAGCCCGTGCTTGGTCAGATAAGTTGCGAGACTTCTTCCAGATGCACTCTAGACCCCTCCTCCAGTGCTTCATCACAGCCGGCTCCTCGGTGAACCAAGGAGTCGGTGTGACTCTGCGCAGTGAGAGGGGACGTTCAGGAGCGATCATGTCGATCGCCCTGGCCAACTTGCTATTATAGTGATCAACGAGGGCATTGACAGGATTCCAGTACATTCCTCAGAATACTTTATTCATCCAGAAGCTAAAGAAAAACAGGACATGTGAGGGAGGGTGGCTGAGGTTGTGTCAATTCACATACGACCACTCAAAGAACTAATTATAGGTATGCAACCTATCTTTGAAGGTCTCTATGGCTCACACAAATGAAAACCAGCACGCAATTAACCACAGCAGAAGAAGGGAATGCCATGCCAAACAGGAGTACAAAACAAGCCACCTAGACAGCATCCTACCTAGAACATGTGCCCACTCTATAATGGGAGATGAAGTCATACAGTTGCCCTTACACATTCTCTAAATGAAGTCCCTGATGATGTTCATCGTCCTTGTAAAATGCCTATGCACATTTTGAATTCAAATCCTTAAACTTTCTATAACAGGTGTTCATAACCTCTGGAGTGTGTGGGTTGATTTTGGGGATCATGAATTAGGCGCAAAGACATTTTTTATTTCCTTATTACTTTGAATTTTTTATTTCACCTAAGAATGTAATCTTTTAAAATGCAATTTTTCCATTTCAGACTAGTCTCTGGGAAAATTCCAACACAATATAATAAATTATATCATTTTTTTTCAAAATGTATATATTTGTTTTTTTCAAGGATGGGGTTTACAACTTTTATTATATATTCAAGGGCATCTGTGGGACAAAAAAACCCCACTGCTCTAGAGCAGTGATTCCCAAAGCGGGCGTTACCGCCCCCTGGTGGGTGCTCTTGGGGGGGGGGGGGAAATGGCCAAAGGTGCATTTGGGGGCGATGAATAACTGTAAGGGGGCGGTGAAAGCATAAAAGAAAGAAGAGAAGATTTAGAAAAAATGATTTCCAGGGGGTAGGCCAAATAAGTTTGGGAACCACTGCCTAGAGAATGAGAGACATTCCTGCCATGTTTATGTTTTGTTGGAAGGGATCTAAGCCAGGCTACTTCAGTCTAACCACGAAAAAATGTCTGGTCACCATGTTCCTGATGTTGATGCTGCTAAAAAAGTTCCAGTAAGAAAAAAGATGGGAAAAGGGGTTGGGTAGACATAAAAAGACTTTACAAAAAAGTGGTCTTTTGCAAGATGCTTTGTTAACTGAGGTATGCCTATACTCCTCAATGTGTGGGAATACAAAACAAATCCAGTGTGCCTAACTCATCCTTGATAAGATTCCTTTAAAAACCTGCATTTAGTATCATATACAATAACAGCTTAAGTGATCAAGACAGAGTAGTGATGTCTTAATTTTCTCTATAAAAGCCAAGGGAGGCATTGCATTAAATGTAAGGAATGGGTCCTGACAATGCTGCTGACCAGTTCCATCCTTTATCCAACTCAGAGCAAACTGCTATGCTCATCACCCATCATGCTTTCAGCTGTTCCATTCTAAATTAGCCTATGAGACAACCGTAATCTGTTTTGATCCTGGATAAAGTGATACTTAGTTCAGCATGAAGATCAACACAGCATAGAGAAGGAGAGAACTAGCATGAACTTTGACAACTATAAGCACTTCAGTCAAACCAGCTATCTGTGGAAAGGGTTTGTGTGACAACCAAATGCCTTACTGCCACTCATGACTAAACATTACCTGTTTAACTCTTAGGATATATACACACTGTACAACTATAGCAGTTGAATGTCACTATAATTATGATAGCTCTATCCCAAGAAATCCTGAGACAAGTGGAAGAACTCTAGGACTGTAGTTTAGGCAGCTGCTCAAAAGCTTTCCGGAAAGTAATTCTAATCACTACACACTAAGTATTGCATAGGATGAAGCCATGACCATTAAAGTGGTATATAAATGCTTCAACTGTTTTCCATGGATGCACGTCTGGATTGGTTAAGGATCAGAGTCCTTCCAGAGACGACTTGTTCTTTGCACCACTGAGAGGTATGAGCAATGAGAGAACACTGGCGTGGCAAGAACAACCAGAGCAGAAGTTGTGAGCAGCCAATCTGACTAAACTGGGATTAGACTCCAATTGAAGGCAAATGTTATGATGCTGAATTTTATCATAGAGGTAACATGACTGCCACTGTTAGCTGTGGTTGTCCACCAAAACGTTTTGATGTAAAGAGACACATAAAACCTAGCCACTTCCTACAAAGGAGGTGAATGAACCATCCATGGCTCATAATAGCAAAGATGGGGAGCAATGTGTTCTACCACAAATTGCTCACAATGAATTCAACATAGATGCGACAATGAATTTCAGTTGACCTCTTGCTTGTTCACCCCTGACCTTCATAGTTGCTTTAAAGTTAGCCATGATAATCTGATCAGTCTGCTTACAACAGAAAAAGAACCATATTCAGAATTTTAATTTTTTACAACCAAAGTTTGGAAATATTTGAAATTCCCCAGTAAAGTTTTATTTAAAAATTATTACCACTCATATTGCAAAAAATGCAACAAAACTAAATTAAGGTAAGCCTGTGAAAGGAAAATAAAATCAGTGGTTAAGAAGAAAAGACAGGGTCCACAGTATATTTTTGATCCTCTGAAATGATAGCTGTATATTTGCTCTGACAGCAGTGTGGACTCAGATCATAGAATCAAAGAGTTGGAAGAGACCTCATGGGCCATCCAGTCCAACCCCCTGCCAAGAAGCAGGAATATTGCATTCAAATCACCCCTGACAGATGGCCATCCAGCCTCTGTTTAAAAGCTTCCAAAGAAGGAGCCTCAACCACACTCCGGGGCAGAGAGTTCCACTGCTGAACGGCTCTCACAGTCAGGAAGTTCTTCCTCATGTTCAGATGGAATCTCCTCTCTTGTAGTTTGAAGCCATTGTTCCGTCCTAGTCTCCAGGGAAGCAGAAAACAAGATTGCTCCCTCCTCCCTGTGGCTTCCTCTCACATATTTATACATGGCTATCATATCTCCTCTCAGCCTTCTCTTCTTCAGGCTAAACATGCCCAGCTCCTTAAGCCGCTCCTCATAGGGCTTGTTCTCCAGACCCTTGATCATTTTAGTTGCCCTCCTCTGGACACATTCCAGCTTGTCAATATCTCTCTTGAATTGTGGTGCCCAGAATTGGACACAATATTCCAGGTGTGGTCTAACCAAAGCGAATAGAGGGTGGCATTACTTCCCTAGATCTAGACACTATGCTCCTATTGATGCAGGCCAAAATCCCATTGGCTTTTTTTGCCGCCACATCACATTGTTGCTCATGTTTAACTTGTTGTCCATGAGGACTCCAAGATCTTTTTCACACATACTGCTCTCCAGCCAGTGTCCCCCATTCTGTATCTTTGCATTTCATTTTCTGCCAAAGTGGAGTATCTTGCATTTGTCCCATGTTGAACTTCATTTTGTTAGTTTTGGCCCATCTCTCTAATCTGTCAAGATATTTGAATCCTGCTCCTGTCCTCTGGAGTATTGGCTATCCTTCCCAATTTGGTGTCGTCTGCAAACTTGATGATCATGCCTTCTAGCCCTTCATCTAAATCATTAATAAAGATGTTGAACAGGACCAGGCCCAGGACGGAACCCTGCGGCACTCCGCTCGCCCCTTCTTTCCAAGATGAAGAGGAAGCATTAGTGAGCACCCTCTGGGTTCATCCATTTAACCAATTACAGATCCACCTCACCGTAGTTTTGCCTAGCCACATTGGACTAGTTTGTTTGCCAGAAGGTCATGGGGGACCTTGTCGAAGGCCTTACTGAAATCCAGGTACGCTATTCTTTGAAACAGCTGCTCTGTTTTAATAGAAAGCATTATAAATATTGGGCACTTTCCATACCACTTTACAATGTAGCATAGAAAAGGCAGTCCTCAAGGAAAATACAAATGCAAGAATTGGCTGTAACCGAACTACTCTGAAGTGCAAAAACCCACAGGTGCGCATAGAATTACTGACAAGAAAAATAATGTGTATAACTTACTCTTGATGTGACGTGCAAAGTTCAGCAAGTTTATCTAATTCTTCATTATTTAGACCTTTCGCAGAATTCTTAAGATCTGGAGCCTCACTTGATTCTGTGGCTTTCCATTTTTTTTCTGCAGAAATACAAAGATGTTTCATATATACCTATATAAAAAACTACATTTTCAAAAGCAGAAGTTTTAATAGACTTCAGACTCAAAACATTTAACAAATATTAAAGCATAAAGTACTGAAAAACTAGAGATGTGACTAAAAATAATGACACTTTCTTTCATTTATGGAAATTAGATAACTACTCCTGTACTGGATATTCCTAAGGAACATGCAGCTTTTTTTGTTTTTATGCACAGGTATTATTTGATTGTAATAAAACCATCAAAGATGTCTTAAGTTCAATTCAAAGGCGAGTCTTCAGCTGTATGACACACACTTACCCCACTGCTGTTGAATAGAAGAAAGGTTTACAAGTAACTGTTCATGATATAACCGTTCCAGTTGAACAAACTTCATGGCTTTCTCATCTGATTGGAAAACTAAAGGGAAACACAGACTGGCAGTGTTGTATACCTGCTATTTTGCAAATATTTCCAAAAGTAATAGCCTGCCTTATGATGCTGGGGTTACATAAGTACAACCATTAACTCTCTTAATTTACTCTACTCCCCCCCCCCCCCGCAGTCAATACCCCAATCCACTATGCATCTGAACATTTTACCTTTTTTGGGCAACATGCTCTCTGGAATGAGAGATTTCATCAACAAACTGAGCTTCTCCTTCAAAGATATTAGATTTAATTCAAACAATGTAATCCTATACCAACTGCCAACATTTATTTCTTCAAAACAGCACAATGGAACAGAAAGACACAGAAGTTAGATTTCTCATTAAAGGCTTTCAAAAAAAGCTATGTATGGGGAAAAATTAAAACTGGAGCAGACACAAGCATGCCACACATTCCTCATCGTGGCTTTGCGATGAAACAGAAACAAACATTTAATCTATATATTGATAATTTTAAAATTTAACTCTATTACTTGCATTACTTTCCTCTGTTTTTATCCACTGTAGGCAAATATACTGGCAAATTTTATTTATATTGTGACTTAATCCTTCAACATATAATGAAAGAACCAAGGCAGTGACATTTCTGGCCCATCCTCTGTTCAGATATCAGTCAGCATGCCAATGCCTTAAATCAAGAAATAGCTTAAGACCCACAGAGATACTTGCAGGAACACCTCAACAAGTGAGAGTCCAAAAGTGACAGGCTAAAACCCAGAACCTCCATTAATGGCTGATACCAGATGAGAGACTCCCTGCTGGGTACACAGAAGACTGGGCGACTTGGAGGGCACTGAACAGACTGTGCACTTGCACAAGGAGGTGCAGAGCCCATCTTCAGACATGGGGCTACAAAGTGGAGTCCATGACATGCAAGTGTGGAGAAAAGCACACCACAGACCACGTACTACAATGCGGTCTGAGCTCTGCCACATGCACAATGGAGGTGTCTTACAGCGACACCAGAAGCACTCCAAGTGGCCAGCTTCTGTTCAAAGGACATTCAGTATAATGCCAAGTTCTAAAGTTTGTTTGTTTTTTTATATACATGATAACTGTACTCTCAATTCGCTTCTGACATGGTAAATAAATAAATCCTTCAGCATTTTACAGATAAAAATCAGGATCTGTCTGGTCAAAGAAAATCACAGTGCAGTCCAAAGGATAAACATTATGAATGAAAAGAGCACACAAGCTAGAAGATGCTGCAACAGTTTGCTTTTGCTTGAGCGTAAGGGGAAAGGTAAGATTCTTCCCTTCCCTAAAAACACCAACCATCACCCAAGTCAAAAAAGAAGCACCATTAAAGCCTTGGCAGACCGTGCAAAAAGAATCTGCGAACCCCACCTCCTCCAAGATGAACTGAACCACCTCAACTGGGCTCTACAGGCCAATGGATACTCCACCTCAGACATCAGAAGAGCTGCAAGACCAAGAACAAGCCACGAGAATAAAGATGAAGATCCACTCAGAGGAAAAGTGTTCTTGCCATACATCAAGGGAACCACTGACCGCATAGGGAAGCTGATGAGGAAACACAACATACAAACTATCTACAGACCCACCAAGAAAATCCAACAAATGCTTCATTCAGCAAAGGACAAGAGGGATCCTCTCACTTCTGCAGGAGTCTACCGTGTACCATGCAGCTGTGGACAAGTCTACATAGGGACCACCAAACGCAGTGCCCAAACACGAATCAAGGAACATGAAAGGCACTGCAGACTACTTCAACCAGAGAAGTCAACCATAGCAGAGCACCTGATGAACCAACCTGGACACAGCATATTATTTGAGAACACAGAAATGCTGGACCACTCTCACAACCACCATGTCAGACTACACAGAGAAGCCATTGAAATTCACAAGCATGTGGACAATTTCAACAGAAAGGAGGAAATCATGAAAATGAACAAAATCTGGCTACCAGTATTAAAAATTTCAAAATAATCACCTCTCAACAAGAGTTTGCTCCAGGCACTGTCAGGCCATTATATGCTAATCAAGATGGTCAGTTGAAACATTCACACCTAGCTCCAGCAGACAAGAGTCCTTTGTCTCACCCTGGTCATTCCACAGATATATAAACCCTTTTTCCTAGTTCCAACAGACCTCGCTACCTCTGAGGATGCTTGCCATAGATGCAGGCAAAACATCAGGAGAGAATGCCTCTAGACCATGGCCATATACCCTGAAAAAAACCTGCAACAACCCAGTGATTCCGGCTATGAAAGCCTTCAACAATACATTCTTCCCCCTTCTATCATTTTCTCCTATTAATTGAGGGTAAACTATTTTGGCCTTTTAGTAACTGCAGCATCTGAAAATGAGAACAAAAAGAGAAAGTGGGAAGCAGAGAGAGAGAAATGGGGGCATTATGAAAGCATTTGAAAAACTGAGATGGCAATAGATTAGGACTGTTTCAACCAATTGGGACTGCTGAAGAGTATCGGTGTGATAACATCATAAACTTTGTGTGATAGCTATTTAAATATTGAAGGAACTATCTGCTCAGGCTGCCTTCCTGTTGGAAAAAGGTCTCTCTTGAACCTTAAATGCCCTGGGGAGACAAACACAGAATAAAAATAGCCACATACTCTGCCGAGGATGTTTCAGAGCATTTTGGGAGGGAAAAAATATTTTTGAAAGAGTGCAGCTCTCCAAGATCTCTTGAGATGGAGTGGGGAGAGGTGGGAAGGAAAGGTAGTTTCCTGTCGTAGTCCCTGTGAATCGCACATATGATATCTCTGCGCATGCGCAGAATAGCTTTCGGAACCTTCTAGAATAAAGAAAAAACGCTTGACTCCTGGCTGGCCCCACCCACCTCGCCCTCGACTATAAGGAGCCCGTGGGAGGGGCCAGCCACCAGTTCTCTTTTCCGCGCTCTTCGGACAGCTTGGGAACCCTTTTTCTCTCTCTATTGACTCTTCGGATTGATTGGCCCTTGACTGGATTGATTGCTTTGGCTCTTGACCGGACTGTTTTTGACTAAGGTATTGGCTAACGGATTGGACTTGCTTTTTAACGCTGATTACTGACCCGGACTGTTTGACCTCTCCGTTTCGCTCCGCCCTTGACTTGGCCCGTTTTTGACGACCCGTCATGTCTACCACCTCCTTCAAGAGGTGTTCCAATCCCTCTTGTCCCAATACCTTTCCGGACATGGATGGCCATTCCTTATGCTTGGCCTGTTTGAGCGAGGGTCATGTCGCCCAATCCTGTGCTGTCTGCCTGTCCTTCACCGCCCAAACGAGTAAGAATAGGGAGGTTCGGCTCAAGGCCGCCTTATATGAAAAGGCCCTCCTCCCTCCGCTCCCTTCTGGACAGGCCAGCCCTTCCCCCGGGCCCAACTTACCTTTTTTGGCCCGGGAAAATCCTCTTGTGAAAAAGAAGGCCAAGAGGCCGAAAGAGAAGGGCCTTCAAGATGGCCGCCGCCTCGCTCCGCCGAAGAAAACAGCCATCAAAAGGGCGGGAAACTCAGTGGCGACAGCCACCGCTTCCCCCTCCCTCTCTGGAACGACTCCGGTTCGCATGCTGCGACGTCTGCCGGCAGCTGACGCCAATGCAGGCTCCCCCGCTGCGGTGCCGTTCCCGATGCCGGGAACAGAAGACCTCACCCCGGCCATTGCGATGCCTACATTGCTGCCTCCCGACAACGCGTTCCCCCCGATATCAGGAGGGACGCCGTTGATGACTGCGGCCCTCTCGCCGGGACCGGCCTTGGCATCGATCCCGGCTGGGATCCCATCCCCAGCAAGCCTTGCTGCTGCCCATGATCAGCCGGAAGCTCCGCCCACCCAGAGAGGCTATGTGGACGCTCCGCCCACCCAGGAAGCGCCCTCAGAAGCCCCGGCCTTTCAAGGGCGGGTGCTCCGGCGCCGACAGGGACAAGCCCCTCTGCAATGCCTCTAGGTGCGGTATCGGGAGGGAGCCACTTCACCAGCCTCGCGCCTCCCTCGGCAGCTTCCCCTTCTCCATCCCGATCAAGATCGGGCCGATCTGCACGCCACGCGAACCGACGCCCGCGGCGCTCACGATCTCCTTCCCGGGGGAGCGGAGGTTCCCAGCGCCGACGGCACCGCTCCTCCACCAGAGGCAGGGATCGGTCTTCGTCATCGTCGTCCTCATCCTCCTCCTCCTCATCGCGCAGGAAATGTCGCCGCCACTCCAGGCTCTCCCGCTCTCCATCTTGCCGCCGGAGGGCTTATGGGCCGGCCCACATGCCTCCGCCAGGATGCTGGCAACTGGGCCCAACGGGACAGCTCATGTATATGACCATGCTCCCTCCTATGGCGGCACCTTCTCCTTCCTCGACAGCACTATTGACCGGTATGGCCCCCCCGATGCCTTACAGGCCTGCTCCGACTGCACCAACGGCCACTGTCCCATCTGTGCGCACTGTTGCCCCACCAGTGAGTGAACCACCTTCTGTAGGCGGGGTTCCTGGTGCTGACCCTACTTTGTATGGGCCCAGTACATCTGCTGCTACTGCAGGCATCCATCGTGCAGACTTGGGACTGCAGAGCGGCCTGAGCACTTCTAGCACAATGAATGCTCTCGGCCACAGTCTGGGCCTGCCTACGGTCGCTCCGACTGCAATTGTGTCTGTTCCTCCTGCTGCCACCACTCCGGTGATGCCGCCTGCTATGGATTTAACCGCTGCTGTGACTCATGATGACGGGGACTTACAAGACTCCGATACGGACTCTGAGCCACCCGAGGCTCCTTTGGGGGGTGAGGAAACATCTACTGTTTTGCCTGCAGACTTCAATAAATTTGCTGCGTTAGTGGAAAGGATGGTTAAGGCACTGGATATCCCTGCTCCCAAACCCCTGGAGCATGTAGAGGACCCGATGTTCCCTTCTGAGGAACAGAACGTTGTAGTGTCCTCGGCCCTTCCCTTGTTACCGTATTTGCTTAAGTTAGCCAAGATAATAGACATGCCGCCCTCATCGGTGCCGGCTGTGCCTAGACGCCTTGATTCCATGTACAAGATAGACATGGCCACTGCCAAATGGGTCCTGGCACCCCCCAAGGCCAATACAGTGGTAGCGGAAGTTACGAAATCCAAACGGTCAAAAACCTCCCAAACGGCTTCCCCTGACAGGGAAGGCAGGAAGTTAGCTACCATGGGTAAGAAGGCCTACCTTTCCGCGGGCCTCTTCACACGCATGGCCCACTATGCCACCTATATGTCAGGGTACCAGACATTCCTCTGGAATCGCCTGCTACCCTACAAAGAGGCCTTGCCACCTGATGATCAGCGCCTTCCCAGAGCGCTACATACTGAGGCTTTGGCTCTGTCCAAGCTTCAAAAAGAATTTGCGAAGCACATGGCCGAGGCCTCCGGAAATTTGTTTGCCACCGCCACGTCCATCAGGCGCCATGCGTGGCTGCGAGCCTCCAACCTCTCGGAGGAGGGGAAGGCCCTCGCCGAGGACCTTCCCTTTCATGAGGAGGGACTGTTTAATCCTAACACCGATGACCGGCTCAAACAAAAACAGGATGTGAGACAATCCGCATCCAAGTTTGGCTACACCTGGCAGCTGTACCCCCAGCAAAAGGGTAGATGGCAGCAGACTAATTCCACTTACCGTAGACCATTTGGCAGTTCTTACTCTACCCCCTTTAAGGGTAGATCCAGGGGCCAATCTAGGTTCCAGGGGGGACGTCGGACCCCCTACTTCCAAAAACCCAGGTCTCAACCCTTTCAGGGAAAGTCCAAAGCCCCTGGCGCCTCAAAGAAGCGTCTTTGACGCCCCCAGCTCCGCTCCGGAGACCAACCCATCCCAGATCTCGAGTCCCATCGTGGCCTCGCAGCCCAAGATTCCCTTTCCCCTTTGTTTGAATGTTGATGTTCAGGAGAGTTCCCCAGGGCCGTTGCCCCACTTCACTGATCGTCTCTCCAGTTTCTATTCTGCTTGGGAGGGAATCACTTCGGATGTTTGGGTGTTGTCTATCATTTTGGGTGGTTACTCTATCGAGTTTGAGGACACCCCCAGGGTTGGTCTGTTCCGGGATACCCCGTTTTCCGTGCAACTCATGCAAGAAATCAATATGTTATTAGAGAAAGGGGCCATTTCTCCTGTTGATCCCACAGTTGCCCCCCTCTGCTTTTACTCGCGTTACTTTTTGGTGATTAAGAGAGGCGGTGGGCTGTGCCCCATCCTTGACCTGCGAGAGCTCAATAAACATATCAAACCGAAATGTTTTCGCATGGTGACTCTTGCTTCGATAACCCTCCTCTTACCGAGGCGTGCCTGGTTCGCTACCGTCGACCTCAAGGACGCGTACTTCCATATCGCCATTGCCCCGCACCACCGGCGGTTCCTCTCCTTTAGGATCAACGGCCAATCCTACTGCTTTAATGTCCTCCCCTTTGGCCTTTCTACAGCCCCACGGGTTTTTACCAAATGTATGGCGGTAGTTATGGCCCACCTTAGGACCAGGGCCGTTACGGTCTACCCCTACATTGACGACTGGTTAATAGTAGGAGAGACTTACCGTAAACTTCAAACACATATCTCTATGGTTTTGTCTCTCCTCCAGTCCCTGGGCCTCGTTCTCAATCAAGAGAAGTCTGTCCTGGTGCTGACGCAGCGGATCCTGTTCATCGGGGTGCTTCTGGACTCCATCCGCGAGAAGGCCTACCTCCCGGAGGAGCGCTTCACCACCATCAAGGGTCTAGTCGAGCAGGTTCTGGCCGGCCCCCACGTGATGGCCAGGCAGATCCAGGTCCTACTGGGACACATGGCTTCCACTACTTCAGCCATTCTGTATGCCAGGCTACGTATGCGCCCGCTCCAATCCTGGCTCCTGTCCAACTTCAATCCTCTGCTGGACAGCCCCTCAACAAAATTGTCAGTCCCCCCTTGGGTCCGTTTGTTGCTCCTGTACTGGTTGGACCCTGCCTGGGCTTGTTCGGGGCTGTCGTTCCACATTCCCTCCGCCACGAGAACGGTTACTACAGACTCTTCCCTCACGGGGTGGGGTGCCCACTCTTAAGGTCTGGTGGCTCACGGCGTGTGGTCAGGTCAAGAAAACGAGCTCCACATAAACGTCCTAGAACTCATGGCCGTCGACAGGGCTCTAAAGTCCTTCGAAAGGGTGGTCACAGGTCAGGTAATACAGGTACTTACCGACAACACCACGGTAATGTATTACCTGAACAAACAGGGCGGCACCCATTCCCCAACCCTCCTGGCTCTGTCCATACAGATATGGGAGTGGTGTATAGACAGAGGGATTCACTTGCTGACAACACATGTACCTGGGGAACAGATTGTGCTGGCGGATTCCCTCAGCCACAATCCGCTGGCGCACCACGAGTGGTCCCTCAATTGGGAAGAAGTCCAGACTCTTTCGAGCATGGGGGACCCCGGACATCGACCTATTTGCAATGAAGTCCAATGCCAAATGCTCCCTCTTTTGCGCGAGGATCCGCGCCTCCGCGGAGCCTGGGGGACGCCTTCCTGCACACATGGACAGGATGGACAACCTACGCCTTTCCCCCCTTTCCTCTGCTGTTACGCACAGTAGCAAAGGCCCAGAGGGACGGCACCTGATGCATCTTGATAACACCTTGGTGGCCGAGACAGCCGTGGTTTTCTCCGCTCCGTCATCTGGCACGGGGGATCTTTGTGCGTCTCCCCGCCAGGCCCGACCTACTGACATGCCAACAAGACCAAGTACTGTACCCAGAGGTACACAAACTGAGACTGACGGCCTGGCGGATCCTGCCCGTCGCTTTCTCCAACCTGCCTCATGCTGTGCTCCGCATTATTGATGCGGCTCACAGACCCTCTACCAAACGTTCCTACCTCTACAAGTGGTCCAGATTTTCTTCCTTTTCAAGGTCTCGCGAGGTGGACCCCAATACCGCACCAGTTTCTGTTGTATTGAACTTCCTGGTGTCCCTTTTGGACGCAGGCCTGTCTCATCCCTCTATAAAATGTTACCTGGCCGCCATCTCCTGGTTTCGTAGGAAGTCGGGAATGCCTTCCTGTTTCTCGGACCCATTAGTAAAGACGTTTCTGAGGGGGATCCTGAACATTAGACCCCCTACAACTCCCGTTGCCCCCTCATGGAACCTGGAACTAGTGCTCAAGGTGCTAATGAAACCTCCGTTTGAACCATTGGCAACCATTAGCCTATCCTACCTATCGTGGAAGACCGCCTTCTTGGTAGCGGTCACATCGGCTCGGTGGGCTAGCGAGCTCTGCGCACTCAGAGCAGACCCACCTTACCTCAAATTTCATAGTGACAAGGTTGTCCTTAGGACCGATATAGCCTTTCTCCCTAAGGTGTCTACGTCTTTCCATCTCTCCCAGGACCTCATCTTGCCCTCCTTTTTCCAGAACCCCACTTCTCCTCTGGAACGAAACCTGCATCTACTTGATGTTCGCAGGGCACTGGCGTTCTACGTGGACAGAACTGCCTCCATTAGAAAGACCTCTAAACTCTTCGTAAAGTATCGTTCTGATGTCTTAGGTCTGCCTGTCTCCTCACAGCGACTGTCCTCATGGATCGTGTCTTCGATTCAGCTGTCCTATCGCATAACCAGCAGTGACCTGCCTCTTCCTGTGAGAGGTCATTCGACGAGGTGCGTCTCGACATCTACAGCCTATTGGAGGGGCGTCCCACTGGATGTTATCTGCCGGGCGGCTATTTGGTCGTCTCCTCTATCCTTTGTTACCCATTACAAGATGGATGTCGTATCCAGGAGAGACACGCAGTTTGGCAGAGCGGTCCTATTTTCAGCGGTGGCATGACGCCCACCATCCGAGGTTAGAAGCTCGCTAATCTATCATATGTGCGATTCACAGGGACTACGACAGGAAACTATAGGTTGCTTACCTGTAACCATGGTTTCCTGAGTAGTCACCTGTGAATTCGCACATCCCCACCCGTCCTCCCCTCAAGTGTCATGCCCCGCCTTCTGGCTGCCTTGCGGCAGAAGAGAACTGGTGGCTGGTCCCTCCCACGGGCTACTTATACTCAAGGGTGAGGTGGGTGGGGCCAGCCAGGAGTCAAGCGTTTTTTCTTTATTCTAGAAGGTTCCGAAAGCTATTCTGCGCATGCGCAGAGATATCATATGTGCGAATTCACAGGTGACTACTCAGGAAACCATGGTTACAGGTAAGCAACCTATAGTTCCATGGACTCCCATAGTTGTTGACCCCTGTTTTATAGGATCCATTAATGCATAGAAACAGCTTTATAAAATTAGGACATCTGGTTTATAGCAACGTAAATATCCATTGCCATTTTAGTCTACAAAATTTGGCATGATTCAGAGATTATGTTTCCGGAAACTAGAGTAGTATGAATGTAACACAATATCTGCCTATATTAGCTTGGGGGTAAGACTACAGCACATTCATGCATATTCATGACTATGCCAATGTTAATCTTCATAGATCAACACATGAGGAAGTGTTTATATTATATACAGAGTTCTTCGAACCACTATCTGTACTCATCTAAGAAAAGTACTTAGTCAATGAAGAAATCAGAATTAAGAAATCAGAAATAATCTCATGTAGGGATAATAGTAACTTCCTCACTTTGTGTTTATCATGCCAAGCAGCTTAATGCCTTCAATAATATGGTATTTATTCATGGTAATGGCATGCAACACAACTGTAATTTTAAAAAGGATACATTCTCCATTTTGAAAATAGGTTTCAGCAATCTGTAAATGAAAAAGATGTAATTATTACTATATTCATTTATTCAATATTAGGGAATACTGTTCCCTAATATTGGAGAAAAAAATAAAATTAGCACAGTTAACATTGGTTACCAAGGTTTACGTAAAAACACAGCTACTAAAATACATAGCTTGTACTGTATTTGCAAAAATCCACCTTTGTCTTGTATAAATGAAGCTATATAGCAACAATATAGTTAAAAATACTGGGGGGAAATCAATGTGTGTATTCTCATTACCTGATGGAGATACAGGGGCAGCAATCGCAAATCCATCTGCTCAAATTCCTCTCGTAGGAGAGAGAAGAGGGCCTGCAAGGTTTGGTTTGGATCCTTCTGGGAACAGTTTGCATTTGTTGTGCTTTCATCTTCATCTTGGGCATGAGTTGCTGCTGCCGTGGCAGTCTTCTCCCACTTAACTGCAGAAATGGAAAAAAAAAGTTCTCCGCTCCAATTTAAAAAAATCAAGTTTCTCAAATATATTTCATCTATTTAGCTATCACCAAACTTGTGTCGTTATTGCTCTATGTACATACACAAAGCAGTTTTCTTATTTCTAAGGCCTGGGATGTGAAACAAGATTTTAAAGGGTTGGGGAATCTCTTCCACTTCTTGCCTATAATCAAATACTACTCTGGTCTGTCTTCGGAACATATTGTTTCAAAATACTATGATGTCTTAATATATCTAAGGCATATTTCAAAGCCATCTGTAATGATAATGATGGCTGTAGTGTGTAATGAAGAAACTGGCATCTTTCAAACACCCAGGGCTGTATCCAACATTGCACTTCTGTTGCCAGAACACTCAATTCAGTGCATTTGGGAGATACTAATCAGGTATTTGCTTGTCAACTGCTAGCATACTCCAAAATCTGCTGGGGAGTGTTCAGAAACCACCCAGGCATGGCTTTTGTGTAAAGATCAGGCAAACTGGCTTGTTGTGGAAACAAGGATTGGTGATAAAGCTTCAATGGAGACACCTTTCCGTCAGGTTAACTCTTTCAGGAGTGAATTTCCTTTCTGAGGGGTAGATTTCTCTCACTTCTTGTTGTTTCATCCCCATTCTTAACTGTGAGTCGTTTGCAAGTTGGATGGTTGTAACTCAGGGACTGCCCGTATAGGTACTAACATTTGCTGGAAAAAATACACATTGTTTCAGTACTATGTCCACTGCAATCTAGATGGCTTACTTATCCTTTTGAGTGCCTTTTCTTTTTTTAGTTCTCTCTCCCTCTGTCTCCTTTTTTGAGGGGTAATAGCAGTGACCACAATGCTTCCCTCTCTGTATTATTTTTACTTACTGATCTACTCAGTTTCCCTTTCTCCATCCTCCTTGTTCTCTTTAGGTTATCTTGATTAGGAAAGGAAAAGAAAGTATTAAAAGCTCCTTCTGCATACTTCTTTAATCTTTACGTTTATTGGTCTTCCCTACAGCTACTTACTTAACAAAAATACGCATGCTAACTGTACTGACACAATTAATATCACATCTACTTTGGAGGTTTCTGTTAAGGTATTTAGCATAATTCAGAGAGGCTTCCAAACCTTGGAAGAGACAGAATTGTGCAGCATCCAAATCCATCTGACCAGACCTGAGAAGATTCCTTAACACAAACAGAACTCAGATGTAGCTCCTGCCTCAATTCTCCCTTCGTTTTCTCTCCAGTCTGATAATATTCTTTGCATAACTATAATCCTGCCTTCAAAATCCTGGGCTATAGGTTGCCTGGCAGTACAGGTATATACAGATCACAGAGATGGAAGAAATCACAAGGACCATTCAATTCCTGTAAGAGGTGTTCCTGGGCATTACTTCTTTAACAAAAACTTTGATACCAGAGGCAGAAATAACATGAAGAGAGCAGGGATATCCTCCTGCATAATTAAAAAAAAACATAATTTGGCAATTGCTGCAATTATTCTATTCAAAGCTAATAATATTCATTTGTGAAAGATCAGGTAAGTTTTGCATAAATAACCAAAGACATTCTAAACCTTTTAGAGATCACTTAGAAATGTGTCCATTCCCCCCCCCCCCCCAGAATTGATTTTTTTCTTTCACCTGTTTCCAATTTCTTTATGATTTCCAGTTTGGTGACCAAAACAATCTACATTATACTGTTCACACATGCTCTGCAAGGGATACTGATGGTACCTGCTGTTTACCTTGACTGTTTAGGGAGGCACGCACAGCTACAATAAGACCGACTAAAGTAGAATCCCATTCTTTCCCAGTTCAACCTTTATTGCAGCATTTGCTGTGGACATACTTCTGAGGCCTGACACCGAATGCCTATGTTTTTGCAACCTTCATTCAATATCCTTCCAGTACTGACACTACTTAAAAACATCTAGCTACTCAGGGTTGATAAGAAACTGGGGTGAGAGGGTGGGGGATGAGCAGAATACTAAGATTTTTGTAAAAAGGGACTTTTTTTGTCAGAGGCTTTATTGACAGAGATATGCCTTCATTGTACATCATTTTCAAGGTTTGGAATATGAGCTAAAACTATGTTGCATGAGACCCATAGCCTTAAAAAGCAGTCTTCAGGTTCTTTCACACAACTGTATTGATACTGAGGACATTGAAAAGAAAAAAAATACTGTATTTCAAATTTCAAAATAATTGTTCTAATGGCATTTTGTTGGTAACACAATGAAGAACCTTCTGGCACATTAAAGACCAATAAATAATGATAATAATATAGTCTTTTAAATGTCTGTTGGTTTAAATAATACTTTGATCCAAGATGCAAAAGCACACTGAAAATTATGATGGTTTTCTATTGAAGGAGAAATGAAGTAATTCCCCTTTGGTTCTCCTTTATATAACTGACCCAGTTTCTTCGACATATATTATGTAGAATTACAGCCTTTTGGGTGACAGCTTTTGGCTTCTTTAGTCTTACGAAGCCCAGTCCTCTGTATGGGGATATCATGTAGCACTGTGAACATTTGGCGATATTTGAAATTGCTCAGTGAATTCTGTCTGAACTCTGAAGCTAGAAAGAGACTTATGATATTTACCCTTGCTCTGTTTGTCTAATTCTATTACGTACCATTTTATCATTTGTTTTATTATGATTTTGTTATTTTTATTTTACCATGTTATTACTATGTATTTTATGTGATGCTATTGTTTTTGTTTATATGTTTCTGCTTTATTGTAATTTTGTTTGGGCTGGCCTCATGTTAGCTGCCCTGAGTCCCTCCGGGGAGATGGTGGCGGGGTATAAAGAAAACGACGATGATGATGGTGATGATGATGATTATAGTTCAGCCACAATGAAATAGCAGTGCTTTAAAAAAACTGTCTGCATATTTTTTCCTTCTGTTTCACAAAGACAGCCTATATTCCAGGTATCTAGTTCTGAATTTAAAGAACTGAAATATGGTATTACATTCAACAAAGTCAAACAAATTATTAAAAAGTTCACAACCCACAATTTTTCTTATTTTGTTCCAATTCAGAACACTCTGGCTATAATGACACCCTGTGGATGGCCTTATGTCCAAAACCATTTAAACTCTTAATTTCAGCTGTATTGTCAATTTCATGAAACAGGAACCAATATTTAGCTTGGTTGTAGGAATGTATACTCATAAAGCTGTTTAGATAAATTTGGTGTTCAAAGAGAACAAGTTGCATTGCTCAGTGATACTGTGCTTGCAAGAAGCTGTTTTATAAGGATTGATTTTTCACCAATCCCTCTATCATTTGCTGCTTACTATTACATGCCCAACACTGTTCAAGGGGGTCGTTCAATCTTAGTTGCTTGGGGGCAGATGGAAAGGGCTGCAGTGAATATTGGTCATCAATACATATTAGGTGTCCTGCTTACCAAAGCAGAATTTATTTCTGCTAGCACAAAACCAGCTATATGCAAAAGATCATAAGTCTATTGCAAAACAGAAACAAGCATACCTGGTGTTTATGGTCCTAATTGTATTTTTCTAATCCAGGTTCACATATTTTCAGTGTTGTTCCAAAAATATAATTTAGTTTCTCAGCATAGAAACTGATGAGATGAAGTGTTTATGGAATACTTCTAGAGAGAACTTGCAATGGAAAGCACGGCATAAGTGAAATATCAATCTAGCTTCCCATACAAGAGAATACCACAGTTTGGGAGCAACCATTGAAAAGGTTCCCTTCTATGTGATCAGCCGTGGATATGATAGGAGAATAGGAGCATGAGGAAGCCTATTCTGGTAGGTTTATACTGGGAGAAGCAGTCTTTCAGACAGTCTGTCCCAAGCTGCATAACGCTTTATAAATCACAATCAGCATTTTGAATTTTGCCTGAACTTTATTTTGAAATGACTAACAAAGTCTCTATCCAATATAATATTTCCCTTGCTTTTGTTAAAAAACCAGTAGTGATATCGATTATGGAAGGAAAGAGTTAATATGAAATACAGAGTGAAAGTGACCTAGTTCTATTCCCAAGACAGGACTGGAACACAGCATTGTAGTATTCTTCTATTGGAAAGACATTGCAGGAAACCTCTGCTCAGTACACACACTAGCATGTACATTTACACCGTGAAAACACTATCCTGCCTTAATGTTATCCAAGAAACTAAAACAAACTTACACTATCTTTACATAAATAATGTGGAATTTCATTTATTAGTTTATCATAGCATGATATGAGAACAAGGGACTGACAGGTCAAACTGACAGGAACAAATACATTCCCTTTTCTAATAAAAATAGTATGGGTTTAAGTACTGAGTTTATTACTGCTAATCAGAGCAAAATTAGGACAACATAATCTCACAGGAATACAAAAAAAACCCTCCACAAACCATTCCCCCCCTCTCAAAAACAACAACAACAACAACAACAACAACAACAACAAACAACAATAATCAATACCATCAAGGCCATAAACACCTGGGCCATACCTGTCATAAGATATACTGCAGGCATCGTAAACTGGACACAGAGAGAACTGGACAATTTGGACAGAAAAACAAGAAAACTCATGACCATTTATAATTCATTACATCCTCGCAGTGATGTTGACTGGCTCTATCTGCCTAGAAAGTCTGGGGGCAGAGGACTTTTACAAGTCAAACAAGCAGTTGAAGAAGAAAAACACATCCTGGCAGAATATGTCAAGGAAAGCCAAGAACCTGCTTTAATTGAAGTCAATAATCGGAAACTTCTCAAAGCACAGCAGACAAAGAACCAGTACAAGAAAACTGTACTCCAAACCAGAGCTGACAGCTGGCACAACAAAGTCTTACATGGGCAGTTCCTTGAGAAGATTGAAGGAAAAGTTGACAGGGAGAAGACCTGGTTATGGCTCATGAATGGAACCCTGAAGAAGGAGACAGAAGGCCTGATTCTTGCAGCCCAGGAGCAAGCCATCAGGACCAATGCAATTAAGGTCAGGATTGAAAAATCAGCGGATGACCCAAAATGCAGACTGTGCAAGGAAGCTGATAAAACCATGGATCATATCGTTGAAGGCTTTCATGGCTGGAATCACTAGGTTCTTGTAGGTTTTTTATAGGATATGCATCATATACTCAGCTGTTGCAAGAAAATCGCACAGACGGACTACAAACAAGGACACAACTCTGTGGCCCAGATGATTCACTGGAACTTATGTCACAAGTACCACCTGCCAGCAGTAAAGAATTGGTGGGATCATAAACCCGCAAAGGTCGTGGAAAATGAACATGCAAAAATACTGTGGGACTTTCGAATCCAGACTGACAAAGTTTTGGAACACAATACAACAGACATCACGATTGTGGAAAAGAAAAAAGTCTGGATTATTGATGTCACCATACCAGGTGACAGCCGCATTGAGAAAAAACAACAGGAAAAACTCAGCCGCTATTAAGGCCTCAAAATCGAACTGCAAAGGCTCTGGCATAAACCAGTACAGGTGGTCCCAGTGGTCATTGGCACACTGGGTGCCATGCCAAAAGATCTCAGCCAGCATTTGGAAACAATAAACATCGACAAAATCACGATCTGTCAACTGCAAAAGGCCATCTTACTTGGATCTGCGAGGATCATTCGAAAATACATCCCACAGTCCTAGACGCTTGGGAAGTGTTCGACTTGTGATTTTGTGATACGAAATCCAGCATATAGATCCCGTTTGCTATGACATACTGTGCTTTTGTGTCAATAATAATAATCTTTATTTATACCCTGCCACCATCTCCCCAAAGGGGACTCGGAGCAGCTTACACGAGGCCAAGCCCAGGAGTGCATTACAACAGAATAAAACCATAAACACATAACAAACATCACAATAGAATAAATAAAACATAATACAATAAAACAGTGCAAAAAATACAGTGAGAGATAAATCACAGTCACAATGAGCGGGCCACATGTACAAGATAAAATGATAAAAAAACTCAGGATGAGAAATGAAATGGAAATATTTGAGAGGAAGAAACTCATTGGCAACTGAGTAGCGGAGACAGGCCTTCAAACAGGCAGGGGGATGTACAGTGTGGGGACAAACATTTGGAGGAAACGAACAAAAGGAGAAGTAATGTCACTCTCCAAAGGCGCAACGGAAAAGCCAGGTTTTAAGATCCTTCTTGAAGGTTGTTAGAGTGAAAACCCACTGATAGGTTCACCTTAGGGTTGCCATAAGTTGTAAAGTACAATGTTATTTTAAGTGTGGCTCTACAGCACATAATATAAAATCTAAATTATTTGTATATAGGTAAGAGTTCTTATAGTTTACTGACTATCTTTGATAGAATGTGGTCATGAGAACAGCAAAGAAATCATACCAGATTTAGCTTCTCTCATCTCTGCAAACTCCTTTACATAATGGTATAATGCTTCAATTCGAAGCAGATGTAACTTGCTAAGTATGCAGTAGTCGTAGTAGTTGTAAGGCTAGATTCTGTTGATTTTACAGATAACTAAACACTAATAAAGTTCAATATGAAAATCAGTATGAAGTTTCATGATTTGTTACTGGAACTGGGAAGGGCAAGTGATATGATCTTCATTGCTTGAAAAAATACCCTCTGAATTGTATCTCCCTCCACATCATAAACAGTACTCAACTTGAATTAAAATAACTAAAAATATTAAAGCACTGCCCACACTCATTGGTTCTCCTCTGTGCCAATGGTTCTTGTTATCTATAAATAAGACAAACAATAAGCAACTAAGTGGCAATATAGTACTTATGAAGAGCAACTATGTTCTTTATGACCAATTATACATTGTATGGAACTATCCTGCCTGCTCAACATATCCTAAAATCAGGAGATATTAGTTGAGTATGCATTATCTGGAATTCCAAATTCCAAAATATTCCAAAATCGCCCAGATGGGTGGCTTCTCCTGGGCAAATGCTTGATTTGCCACAGGGTGGATTAGACTACCACCCTACCCAACCATTGCGGAGGCAGGAGGGACTCCTGACCCTCCAGTGGCATCAGATCCAGCTTGGTACTGCCAGACAGCAACTCTTACCATCCTGCTCCTATTTCTGCTGTCACGGCGACCAGCAGGTGTGAAATGTTTCTCATTGGTTGGCCACCACCTGGAGTGACATTAGCTGGGATGCAGAGCGATGCAGGAAGTGGAAAGGAAGAAGTGCTCCCTCCCCTTCCCTTTCCCATTCTCCGGCCAGCTTTACTCCAGGTGAAAAGTGACCAACCTGAGCCATGTTACACTAATCGACCACTGTGACAAGAAGAATGGGAGGAAGGCACCAGAGAGTTAGTGCCATCCTGGGTCCCTGGACCCCTTGAGCCTAAGGAATATAGAATGGCCATGGAAACAGGTGTACCAGTCCAACCACTCACAGGCTGATCAGAATTCTTGGGACTTTGGTTAATATGGTTCGAGGCCACATTCAGATGACATTGGCCCACATTAGACCGAATCAGTGCTGTGTGTATTTTGGCCACCACACTACTGAATTGCCTGCCCTGCAGGATACACTGTCAAGTAGATGTGTCCTAAGAGAGTGACATCTTTGCTTTTTGATGGCTCAATATACACAAACTTTGTTTCACGCACAATATTATTAAAAATTAAAAATGTTGTATAAATTACTTCCAGATTATTTGTATAACACATATATGCAACATAAATTAATTTTGTGTTTAGGCTTGGGTTCCATCAGAAAAAATTCCAAAATACAGACACTTGGCCCCAAACATTTTGGAATAGTGGTATGAAACCTGTACTTTTACTGCTGCCAAAATTTCATTACTTTAAAATAGTCAGGAGAGAAAAAGTGGTGTAGTGGTTGGACCCTTACTCTAGGGACCAAGTTTGAATCACCACTCCGCTATGGAAACTGACTGGATAATTTTAGGCCAGTCTTGGAGGAAGGCTAAAACTAGATCTACATTGCCATATATGGTAGTATAGACTCATATAAGCCAGTTCAATGAAGTAAATCTGCATTCTGAAATTGGATTATATAGCAGCATAGATCCAGCAAAAGAAAAACCTCCTCCAAATCTTGCAAAAAAAAAAAAAACCCTCCAAAAAACAAACCCATGAGAAAGTTGGCTTGGGGTCGACATGAGTCAGAAATTCTCTGAAGGCACACAAGAAGAGAAAATAGTGAAGCAAAAATCCCATATTTTATTGTTTTTAATTTCTCTGTAGTTAAGTTCTACACTTTAGTTTTCTTAACCCTGTAAATTTAGCCTGATGTTATTTAAGGTATTTATTTTCTATGATTTTACTTAGTATACATGAGACAGCACACAAGCTTTGAAAACATGAACATGCCATTCTCCTATTTTCACTGAACAGCCCAAATCTTTCCTTGATTGCATATGACAAGCCATTTTACTGGCTAACAGAGAAAAGTGATGGCCTCAGGCAAATGCTTCAAGAAAATAATTCTACTGAAATATAGGAGGCAACAAAAACCATCTCAAAATCATTGTTCTGCTGACTGTGCTCAAACTCATAGAAGAATTAAGTGCATTTCATTTAACAAATGTATGTAATTTAGCATGGTTATATTTTCTCTAAAGTGTGCCAGAAGCAAACCTTATTAATTCATTAATAACATTTTAAAATAACTAACCCAAGGTTCTGCATCATCTTAGGAAAATACATATCCTGTCTTGTTAATTTCCAGTGATCAAGCTGATTTTCTGACCAACAGCAGAAGTGGCAAGCTAATATTATTTTATTAAAACAGCTATGTTTTGGGCAACAGAGTGATCTATAAATATTTTATCAAATAGATAACCAACAGCTGGGGCCTGTCTGCTTGTACATGTAGTTTATCAAGCATGTCCTATCTCAGAGATGCACTTAAGTCAGATTAAAAGCGAAAGAAACACAGTAGTTCTGGTAATATGAGTACGGTTGTTTCAACATTTCAAACAAGCCTAATGTATTTATTTAAAAAGCCACAGTACCTTCATTGCTGATTTTTTGTGTTTTTCTTGGATTGTTTCTTTCGGAGGTACATTGTTCTACAAGGAGCATTTCATCTGCAGGAAAACTTTGAGATGGCTTATCACTTTCATCATCCTGACAGAAAGATGTGTACTCTTCACTGTCCTCATTATTATTTATGCTGTCCTGCTCAACTCTTCCCATTGTGTTGTCTCGCCTTTTTACAGTATCATGCTTGCTGCTGCTAAACTGATTTTCATTTTCATCTGGAGAAAAGGGCAAGCGCGTTTGGATCCTTTCCACCTGTGTATCTGTATGGAGTAAGTCTTGTAAATTTAACTGCTGGTCATTTGTAGGAGATTCCCTTTCATCCATTAGAGCGTTCCTATGGTGAACTTAATACCCTCTTTGTCCAATGATTCTCAGCTCTAAAAAAGGGGAAAAGGGAAAAAAAGATGCTTGAATTCCTACAATAACCAAAAACTCAATCTGCTGTATTGTATCACACAGGATATACATGTAGATTTCTTTCTATTATTCTGACAATTGTCTTCAAGATAGATAGCATCTCACACTGTGAAACATAATGACTATACTTTATACATCAGAGACAACTGTTGTCTTGAAAAAAAATTACTCCTAATATAGGATTTTCCTAAAAGCTCAGAAATATACAGGTGTATTTTTGCTAAAGCTACAGACATCAAAACTAGCTCTATGCGTGTATGTGCCTTCAAGTTGCCTGTTGATTTATGGCAACTCCATGCATTTCATAGGCAAAGCGATGAGTTTACCAGTTCCTTCTTCTGAAATATACTCTGTCATCCAAGTGCTAACCAAGGCTGACCTTGCTTAGTTTCCAAAATCAGGCGGGATCTGGTACTGTTAAGATATTTAGGCCTCTTTATTCCAACATTCATTGAAAATATGGTAGGTAGCAATTAGCAACTTCATTAAAAAAAACATGGTTTCAGCTATATTTAGGAGACTGTCATACCAGCTTTATTTTCTTGACAATTGGAAAATGTAGGGAAAATGCTTAAAAAACTACCTAGTGAAAAAGAAATTCATGCAAGAATGCACTGAAATATACAAACAATCGTGGGGAAAATGGTAGAACACATGTCTCTGTCAGTTTATTTACATGGTGAAAATACTTTCAGGCGCAAATAACAAGAAAGTGCTTCCATTTATTTTGTTAATGACATTCTAATATTGGTTAACCCAGGAAATAAGACTGGAATGGAATATGTTGCCAGTATATGACTGGAATATATTGCCAGTATATTGTGACAAAACACCACACCAACATGAAAAGGGTACAGTAGCAGCAGATACTACAGTTGGGTCTCTACATTTTAGATGTAGCTTTTGCAGATTTGATTAATATGATCTCTATAGGAATCTTTAGGTCTTCCAGCCCAACGGAAGATCAGCATAGAATCATACTGGAGGATCAGAGCACAGCTTTCCAAACAGTGTGCTGTGACACATTGATGTGTCAGCTGCAGTGTAGGTATGTAGTGCGAACATAACAAGAAACTTCTGGGTCTATGTGAAATTAGTGATCAATTATAAATATTTTATATATATAAATAAAAGATTTTCATGAGATACGTTGTGTCCCCATACATTTTGGTATAAAAATTTAGGCATGTTTCGATATCTCTTATAAAGGGTTGATTTAATTCCCAATTTGCTAGTAAAACTGAATTACTGAGTCATGAAAAGATTTATGTGTACAAAGATGTGTCACCACCATGGAACGTTTGGAAAAGCGTTCACTCAGGTTATAAAAAGTGGGGTTTTTCTCACTTTTGCAGTGGCACCATGCTCTAACATCAGTAAATGTGGAGGACTGACTGTACACAGTTTCAGATAGCTATACTGGATAAGTAGCTACTGCAAAAATTCAGAACTATATAGATAGATCAAACCTCCAATGAAATTAGGATTATTTTAAAAACTTATTTCTTAAACAATAAAAAAGAGTTCTAGGGCTAGATCAGATGATAATTTGAATGCTCCCCTATATGTAGTGAAGGAGGTGATGGGCAAACAGCTTGAAGGCAACTAATTGTGGCTCAGGGAGCCTGTGAAAGGGGGATGTAGATGGATAGGATATTTAAAAAAGAAGAGTGTCATACAGAGTTCTGAAGCTGATAGTATTTGGGATTTTAGAAAGAGAGTTGGTTTTGACAGAGTCAGAGCTGGATTGAGAGAAAGCCAATCAGAACAGAGAATTAACTATGGTCTTGGGGCCCAAAATAAGTTAATATTATACTGTTCTACTGCGTTTTATAAATCTATTCTTACTATTGCTTTAAAACTGTCTCTAGCAAATCTGCATTGAAGTTGATCCATGCATTATACCACACAACAGGTTCACATTTAAGAGGTCAGCAATTGACTATTACTCAGGGAAAACTAATGTTCCAAAAGTACCCAATTACCTTTTCAGAAAGGATCAGAAAAGCAAGAGAGGCAGATAATCATATATGCATGAGGCTAGCCGAGTTCACAATTTCCCCTTCTACTGTTCCTCTCCACCATGTCCAGAGGAACTAAACATTCTCCATGTTCCTCAGCTCATTTCATCTTTGCTTTGGAGCCAGCATTTTAAAATCCTGTTTTTAGTCCAGCCTTGTTTTCCTCCTCACTCTCAAAAGCTTTCTTTGTATGTAATTCCGTGAATTATTCAAGAATTGTAGATCCCTTAAAAATATTCTGACAACTAACCTGATGCTCTTAATATTCATGTTTTATCTGTGAGTTCTTGAACATGCAGTCTTATCTCTCTCATTCAGTCAATTATCTCATCTAATATATTTGAAGTGTTCAAACACAACCTTCCAGCTAGATAAGGAAGAAGCAGTATTTCCTGTTGAACTAATAGCAGTTTGCTGAGTGCTCAAGCCACTGTCACATATACCTATATAGGTGTTGTCTGTTAAATGTATTGTGTTGATTAACATGTGCAATTCCCAAGAAGTCAATATATTAGTGCAGCTCTTATAACAATACCATGACATCTTTTTAAGGACTAACATACTGGTAGCTATAATAAAGTCTTTTTTACTCTGAAGAATGCAATATTTAGTCATCCAAGATCTTAGAGGTAGATGGCTTTGAATACCAACTTGTAGGACTTTCTTCAAGAATTGGGAGGAGTTTTCTAACTTCTACATAAAACTAGGCAATTTGGTCTCAATTCAGTTTTCATATGTACACCATCTCAAGCCCTATCTCTGGATTTACTGAACATACAAGACTTTTCACTTCAATGCCTCATAAAAGTCTCATCTTCTCCCATCAGTACAACAGATAGGACTAAATCAAACTTCGGCCCTCCAGGAATTTTGGACTTCCAACTCCCACAATTTCTAACAGCCGGTAAGCTGGCCGGGATTTCTGGGAGTTGCAGTCCAAAACACCTGAAGAGTCAAAATTTGCCCATGTCTGTTCTAATTTAATACCTTGCAAAGGCATCTGATGTGGGGGAGAGGCAACCCCTTTCCCAAGTGCCAGGGAACAGCATCATCCACTAGTTACACTTGCTTTTTTCTCTCCTAACCACAAAATCCATGGATCCACTGGTTTGAGTGCCACTGGTTCAAACTGCTGCAAACCTGAGTTATATTTGCACCAAGCATGGTCTTTTCTTTATGTCTTAAGATTGACACAGAATCCATGTGTAGACCATGGAGTTTACATCTACAAAAACATAGTGATGGATGCCTACTTAGATCAGGGGTCTCAAACCCATTTTTGAGCGCAACATCAGCCTTAGGCTTGCCTTCTAAGGGCTGCTGAATCCATAAACAGATAATCTATATATTTTCATATAGTTGTCAGTGCTCTTCAGTCTTCTTTACCCAATTTCGGGTCCACAGATGTTATTGAATGACAACTCCCATCAGTTTTGATTATCTGCCCTATGATTGGGAGATAATGGGAATTACAACCCAACAACACTTGTGGCTTTGAAGATGGGGAAAAGTTAAAGAACATTTTAAAGTCAGACATCATAAGCCTTGTATCTAAGTTCAAACCTCACTGTCCTGATTCAACAGAACAAAGTACAACTTTCCAGATGTTCCTGTATCACAACTCCCATAAGCTCTAGTCATGATGTCTAATAATGAGGAACATAGAAGTTGCAGTCCAGCATTTGAGGGACCACATAAAATGACATGGTGAGCCAGATTTGGCATTAAGTTTGACACATGTGACTTAAATGGATTAGAAGGGAACTAAGAAATTCAGGTAGGATTAGGCTATCAATGGCTATTGCCTTCACTATCAGGAACAGTATGCTTTTTAATATCAGCTGTCGGAGAACATGGGAGAGAGGGAGCTCTTATGTTCATGTCTTCCTTGAGAACTTCATTCAGCCTTGTGGTTGGTTATTGTGGGATCCATGCTTTTGGCTTGATCCTGAAAAGCTTCCCTTTAGTGTTCTGCAATGCCAGCTATTGTAGTGCCATACAGTGGACAGCTATACTTTTTATGATTAGTTAATTATGATATAATAAAAATGCAGGGGGCTGGAGAAATAATCAATTGTTGGGACCTGCCCTAGAGAAACGTCATAAGAAATGAATGCAGACTAATGCCTAGGTTACATTCTTGGTTTGTGATGTAAACTAAGACTGACATGAATGTGGGGAGCTAGTTCCATAGGGAATCACTAGAAACAAGACACTCTGTGGGCTTCTTCATCACGCAAAAACCATAACGGAAAATGATTTTTTTAAAAAAAGAAAATGACAGTGTTGGAGTCACTGACCTACATTTTGTATCAGATGTTCCCTTTAGTTCAGTTGGCCTGGAGGGATTAGAATGTAGGCTGAGGTCACTTCCCTTTGGCCATGGGGACAACATTTAAACTCAATTAACAGCAAAAAAAAGGAAGCACATCATCCAATACAAAAGGTGGCCAGTGAATCCAACACAATCACATTTTCTCTTTCTCCCCCCTGTATAGTGTTTTTAATATCTTTTGTCTGATGAAGAAGCCAGTGCATCTTTGAAAGCTTGCATGAACTGTTTAAGTGCATTTTATTGGTCAAAAATCCTTTGTGGTTTTGTTTTATTGGCAACAAAGACACCACTAAATATATTATAAATTTGAAACTCTGGAAAATAGGAAGGAGATACTTAGGGTATCATCAGATTAACACTGTAGTTTTAGCTTAGAAAGTGTGACTTATACTAAGCAGCACTACAAATATCCACAAAAGCACACTAAGGAAACCATATCAGTATCTTACATGTGCAAAGGTTTCATAATAAAAACAATGCCATCTCCATAAAATCAAAGATAGTAGGCTTATTCAGCCATAAAGAAAGAAAAATCAAGAATTAATTCTCGGTGATGTTTTCTGCTAGGGACAGTGAAGAGGCTGGCAAAGAACATTTGAAAACAAATTCTCTTTCCAGACCTACTTTTCAACTGAGATAATTGCCACACAGTGCAGCTGCCCCGTGGTGCAGCCTCATTAGTAGAATCTCTCATCATGAGATTATTGTATTATGTACAATCTCATTAACAAGTACGTTCACTATCTCTTTAATCTAACCTCTCAGTTGTTTACATCAGCTGGATGCTTCTTCTTTACAAAAGAATGCGTTGAAATATAAATACTCCTCTGTAAACTGTTTAGTGAAGCTCCTGGTTTCCTCTGTGCTCATTTTTCTATTCTCTGTTCTCTCCTCGAGCATCATTCAATATGTACAACAGCACCCAGAAACACATTTACTTCTTAGTTAATTCTGTAAAGCATGTTTTATCTATTTTATGGCCCTCCAATCCTTTTTAACACCAAACTCTGATTAGGATTTATGCAGAAAGAAAAGCTACATGAAAACAGTCGCATATGATCTCACCCTACAATCTTTTTCTGATCCCAAAAACATATATTTATGAAATTGCACTATGTTAATACTTAAAATTTCAGTGAAAAAAAAACCCCAGGGATATCATAAAATATCTGATTAAAACTATTTAACAACCCGAGACAGACTATGGCTTAACAGTAAGTAATTAACCAGCTACCTAGTACTGAATCATTATTTAAGCCATATATTGCATATGGAATGTATTCATATTATTTTATATGCGGCCTCTACATATCATCTTTGGTTGTTGCTTCTTACTTCAGATATCACACTCTCCCTTACAAGTCACTGGCTGATATGGAATGGTAATATAATTCTGTAATCCTATCATCCATCTTCTTCCCTTCAGCAACAGGCTAGTCCCCAAATGTGCTGTAAACACAGAGCAGATAAGATTGTGGTAGGAAGAAGTAGTAGTACTTTAATCGGAAATATAAAGGGCAGTGTTCATCTGAGTGAGGTTAACATGTATGAACCTATTCTTATTATTACCTGATGTAACATGATATGTTCTATTTGAATTAGATTATAAGCCTGTTCCCTACATGCTGAAGTTATGTAATTTTTCATAGAGCAATCCTATCCAGTTATACTTGGAAAGAAGTCCCACTGTTTTCAAAGGGTCTTATTTCCTCCTAGATATACTTAGGATCTTTGCATGTAACTGTAATTTGCATTTGGTTAGGAAGTGGTGCATTCTCTGTCAATACTAAATTTGTCTGGGAAATGCTAAGAGTACATAAATTCACCAGGTTTTTCAGTTTAGTAAATCTTACTTTTTAGTAATTTCTCTGTCAAAACTTCCAATGTAACACAGGAAAATACTATGGTAGATTTGGTGTAGATGGGTGGTCTGATTCTGATGGCTCTCTGAAGGAAATTAAGATTTATTTAAAGGAGATATATACTTATTCCTATCCATCATATGTTCTGGTGTCAGGATTTCTTGTAAACGTTTCAGGGGAATTCAGGAGGTTCCTACTGGGGATGTGCCCTCTCTACTAGCAGAGGAATATTTACCTCATTTTAACCTTCCTTAGAAAGTTCCCTGAGGGGATCACAACTGCATTGTTTGCTTGAAAATCGAATAGGATTTAGTTCTTTCTCACTACCAGTAAAATATTTCCTAATGCAAAGCAAATTAATATCATTTCAGTTTAACTTTGAATTTAGAAATACATATCTTTAGCATGAAGATGTCATTTTATCAATCTCTTTGTACTAATAAAGAAATGTTATTCTTCCCTGTGCCCCATATGGGACCAAATTCTAAGGTAAGAGTTCATTTTATATACAGTAATTCTTAAGGTTTTTTTTTTCCTTCAATAGGTATTATATTACAAATATGTTATATAAAGATTGCAGTATAAGTGATACTTGGCTGGATGGAGAAAGAAGTTGTGTGCTTCTTTTTTTCTTCATCTCACATATCCAGTTTCAGCAAAGCTATCATGGCTTCTGGAATTTAGAACACCTTTGCTGAAGCCAGGTGTATAAGAAGTGAAGGAGCATGGGGTAAAAAGATAAACCCCGTGCCAATAAATCTTTGGTTTGTTGGCAACAATCATAATAACAAGACAGAGCCATAACCTCAGATCTTCTAATTTAGATATTAGCAGAAGTTAGTTTGAGAAATCTGGCCTGGGTGTGCAAGACAAGGTAGAGTATGGGATTTTGAATGTCTGGGTAAGATTCAAGAGAGACAGAATCAAGAGGACACACCAAAACAAGGACTGGAACTGATGGAATTGACACAAAAGTTGGACTGTTGCATATGTAAACTCTACTGATAAAAATGGAATCGTATAGCAGAGTAAGTAAAAGTGTGATAAATTATGTGGAGAAACTAGGAGACTAGGGAGTACTAAGAAATGTATGGCTTTAGAGCATTGGTCTTTCAACAGGTGGATAAGGGCCCATCCAGGATGGTTTGCAACATCAGCAGTACTGTCATGCAAGTATGAGATAAACACCCAGAAGTAAGTACCAAATTGATGTTTGGAATAAAAATATTCCTTATCTGAACAGGAAAGTGGTTCAGGGTTTACATTTCCAGTTCAGTTCAGGTCAAGTCACCAGTTTTGGGCCTCAAATGGCATTTTTTCCTGACAGTTCCTATACTTTATAATTACAGTAATGGTGTCTATATTGATGTAGTACTCAGCGCATTAAATAATCCTTATTTATACAAAGTGAATACATTTCACAGTGTAACATTACTCTGAAATACTCACTTGTATTTCAGCCCCGATCAAAAGTTACAAGTCATTGTCTTTTCCCAAAATTATGGAAACAGAACAGATTCTAATTATTAATCTCTCCAACTTCCCACATTTTAAAAAACAACAACCAAGCATTCGAATTCTTTAATATTAAATATATACTGGGAATTTTATTGTTATCCCCTCCCCAAATTAAAGGAAAAACACTTACCATTTTCTTTTATGTTAAAATGGTTCTTCAAATGTATTGCAGGACAGAGATGACTTTCTGTTTTAGTAAAAAAGTTTTACCCAAAATTATCTGGCATCTGGTCAAACCTGTGAAATAGAAAAGGGATTTAAAAGTAAACCAGTATGTATTTTAATAAAAGCCAATGCACATAATCAGTTTTTACTAGATGGGGAATACTAGACAACAAACCACCTGAAATTTAGAATTACCAAAATATTGTTATTGTAAAGCTTTGATACCTTATAAAGTTAGAAGATAAATATTCTTGATAAGCCATACTTACTCAGGCAAGGCCTTTGACTTTGTTCAGCTACAAAAAACATGTTTTTTAAAAACCAAACATCTTTTTCTTATGAATTTATGATTTATGAAGAACTAAAGCATCAGGATAATTGACACAAAGCCCAAAGTATGAACTTAGAAATTCATTAACTACAATAGTCCTATGGGATTCTCTGTGTTTGTTTTTTAAATTTTGACACGATCACGGGCACAAGTGATCTCTGAAGACAGCAAAGATTTGAAACCTATTTTGCTAGATATGCCTCTTTAAAACATCCCCAAACTAAATTCAGCAGACTTTCCTAAGTCTGCTGACTACAACCCTCCTTAATCAGGGTGGCCACTGGTCACCCTGATTACTACTATTATTATTTTAAACATTTTATTCTCATTTCCATACGGAATATCATCGGAACACGTGATGCATATTTCCAAGAACATATGGTCCAAATAGCTTATTAACACATTTATTCAAATAAAGCACATTACAAATGTGACCAAACATATTTTGAAAAAGCAAAGTAGGTCATAGAGCTGAAATCTATAGAGCATACTAGATTTTTTCCCCAAGAGCTTCGCATCTGAATAAAAAGACCAGCATACCACATCAGACACTCCTCTGGAAACTTCCACTAGTTTAAAAAGTAGTTTGCCATGTGGCACTGGAGCTTGAGCTGTTAATGATGCTGTTCAAGAAAAACAAATTCAAACCCTTTTAGGCACAGAAGAATAGCTGCCAGCATTCTTTGGATCTTAGCCCACAACTCCACTGAGCCAACCAAGGATAGTATAATCAGAGAAAGAAAAGTGGGGTTATGTTTTGGGAAATTTGATAGACCTTACAATCAAAGATCAAGCCTTGGGGAAAAAATTGTTAAAATCCAAATCTTATTTCGCCATCATTTATAGTAGACATTTATATACACTTAATAGTTAAATATTATACAGAAGGTCTAGACCTTTTATACAATACAAAAGGAAGCACGGCTATTATACTTAAGAAGTTGAACAACTGGTTGGTACAGCTTCAACAATTACTACCATCCTTCTGCATTTAAAATGATAAATGTGTGTACACTATGTAATACCATAATTTAAATACACCCAAAGGAAAAAAGGTTGAAAAGTCAAACATTATTAATCTTCCTGCCCACATAATATTTCCAAGTTTGAACTGCAACTTAGCTATTAAAGTAAATCATCATCTTACTAAGCCATAGGTGCATTAAATAGGAGTGCACACAATCTCCTAGATGAGACCTGCACATCTGTCTCTCTACATACACATTGCACAGAGATTTAAAAGAGATATACCATAACTGCCCCTACTTATTTTTTACTTTTTATCTTGTGGATTATCTTCTTGTTAGTTTTTGCCGAGTTGACTTTGATTTTGGCCACTCCATGAACAAGCGACCTCAAAGTCACTCTATCCTCAACCACCCTGCTCATGTCTTGCCAGATCCAGGTCATGGCGTCTTTGATTGAATCTATACATTTGGAATGATTTCCCCCCTCTTTTCCTACTGCCTTCATGTTCTTGGCTTTAGGTGCTCTTACTGCCTATTACAGAGAAAACCATCTGATTCCTAATCTAAAACACAGACATGTGCTTTTCATCTTAAGAACAGACAAGCATCTTGAGCTCTGAGGATTAGCTGGGAAGGAATCCCACTGGAGCATTGCAGCACACCCAAATACCTGGGAGTTACCCTGGACCGTACTCTGACTTATAAGAAGCACTGCTTGAATATCAAGCAAAAAGTGGGTGCTAGAAACAATATCATAAGAAAGCTGACTGGCACAAACTGGGGATCACAACCAGATACAGTGAAGACACCAGCCCTTGTACTCTGCTGCTGAGTACGCAAGCACAGTGTAGAACACATCACACCACACTAAAACAGTGGACATGGCTCTTAATGAGACATGCTGCATTATCACAGGATGTCTACGCCCTACACCACTAGAGAAATTATAATGTTTGGCCAATATTGCACCATTTGACATTCGCCGAGAAGTAGCAGCCAATAATATAAGGACTAAGGCAGTGACATCTCTGGCCCATTTCCTGTTCAGATATCAGCCAGAACTCCAACACTTTAATTCAAGAAATAGTTGATACAGAGATACTCACAGGAACACCTCAGCAAGTGAGAGTCCAAAAGTGGCAAGCTAAAACCTGGAACCTAAAGCAATGGCTAATGCCAAAAGAGAGACTCCCCTCTGGGCACACAGAAGATAGGGAGACTTGGAAGGCACTGAACAGACTGCACTCTGGCACCATGAGATGCACACCAAGTGGCCAGCTACTGATCAAATGATATTTAATACAATGCCAAGTTTTTTAAACTTCGTGTTTTTAAAATACATTACAACTGTACCCTTGGTTCGCTTCTGATACGATAAATAAATAAAATCGGTCCTGTTTTCATGAGTGGTGAGTTTCCTCTTGGACCACAGCCTAATTTGTATATTCATATATTTTCCTTGATGTCATATTGATATTATTTAGGCAGACTTTGACTTATATTTTGAACTGTATTTACTTTATCTCTCCTTCCTATTAATGCAACCCCATTGCTTCTTAGAAATAACGTGTAATTATTTGACTAACTGACTCACTCTATGTACTGCAATGTTTACATGTTCCACTTCTAGGTCTACTATTTATTTACTATGTCTAGCTTCCCGATTCATAGTTCTTATACTCCCATGTTCCTAGAATGTGTTGTGATGTTTTGAACTTTCTTTTCAACATGTCAAAAGCTGAATATTCTTTTGGCTTGAGTGCAATTGCATATTTGGCCACCATGCTACTCATAGTTGTCCTCTGCATTGCACTACTAGTTTGTTGAGTTCCTTCCAACCTCAGAGTAACATCCCCTGGCATTATCTTTTGTTTAATTTTGGATTATTTTGGCAAAGGGTTTTCATGGTAAAAATATTAAAAAGAGTTTAGTGCACCTCTTTCTACACAGTACTAAAAAGTGCTACCATGGTGCTACTGCCATTGTCTTTGAGATCCTCCGACATTGTCCCGCTCCTCCTCCCCAATTCTGCTCCTTTTAAAGCCAATTCTTTTAAAAAGAAGAAAAGGTTATGTAGAAAATCATGGGCCAATTAAGCACAACAAATATAGCAATCTAAATAGTTGGCAAGGACCTCTGAAGAGGAAGACAGGAATGTACTTATGTTCCAGCCACTGAGTCACCACACCTTACTGACCTATCTGGTTCTACTTAAATTCCTTATCCCTGAATTGACCTGGTAAAAAGGAAATGTCCCCAGAACAAGTATTTAAATAATCCTGAATACAGGTTCAAAGTAGTCAATATAGCATCGTAAATATCACCATAAAAGGTATTTGCTTCCTGAGCTATAGTATGACAATTCTAATCACTGGACTCTAGTCTTATGGGACTTTTCTTTATGCCATGGGTTTAACTATAATTTAGATATAAACAAATTCCATTTACCATCTCTCCCTCCCTTGATGTTCCATGTTCTAAAAATTTCTTATACAGTCCTGGATATGATAAAACAACACACACACAAAATCAACCCTGATTTTCAACAAAACAAAATACTTCCAGCATGGGGAGTTTTAAAACTCACTTCAATTATAACACCTTCATCAAAACAAGAAGAATAAAACCAAACATGTGTATGTTGCATTGAGGCTAAACACTTGTACTTTAGAGTAAACACTTCTTTGTGGTAGAAACATATAATACAGTTTGGGTTTAACAGAAATGAAATAAGTATATGTAACTATGTGAATACCCAACCGATTATTCTGACTATCACCTAGAGGTGCTGATTCTAGGCCTAGGATGCAATATCACCTGCTGCTCTCTGGTTGTAGAAGGAAGGTTGGATTCCAGGCTTTGGATTTCAGTGTAACAATTTCTGAAAGCTGGCTGAACCAAGAGTTTCACCCCTCCTATAAGAGCCTCTACATTTCTAAGATGGGTGCAGAGGAGACAGTGGTGGCGGAGGGTTCCTTCTCTGGCCACCCACTTGGCTTATATGATGAACACAGAGGAGGGAAAAAGCATTCTGCCTCAGCCAGTCTTCTCTCTCATCCTGGTTGCCAATAGCTACAAAGATAGTATTTAAATTCAACACATGGTGAATAGAAAAGGCATGACTAAAGCACTGTTGTTATTTTTCCTCATGTGTTTTTTTATATGTGTTACTTAGATGGAAAGCATGCTCTCTGGTGAAAAAGCATGCAAGTGACTGCTAGATGATAACATATAATTGCTGTTACACACTTCCTTCATCACAGCCCTGTTCAAGTAAAATACTATAGATTCTTTTTTGTGTAGATGTCTAACATCTGAGATCATCTCATTCTGGAGATCCAGTGTGTAACACCTGAGATCGCCTCAAGACAGTGATCTGATATTAGGTTGGCAACAGTGCTAGCTGATTTAGTATACTGCATTGGCTTTCACAAGTGTAAAAACTGGCTTAATACGTGGGTAAGTAGATCATAAGATTGAAAAACAACTTGCAACCACTAAGCCAACTGGAGTGCCTCGAGTCACACTTTGCCTGAGACAGAAATCTAAAAAAGCCTAGAACCAAAATAAATACCCCTACAGGATGACCAGAGTGTAATCAGAAAATAAATTTCTGTTATTCAGAAATGCAAGGCCCTTCCACACAGCCATATAACCCAGAATACCAAGGCAGAAAATTCCACATTATTTGCTTCGAACTGGCAGTGTGGACAGGCCCTGTATCTAAATCCATACTACCATACATTCCAGTTCAAAGCATATAATGTGGGATTTTATTCAGCTTGTGGAAGGGGCCATGGTTACATTTATACAGTCACACCATTACAAACAGCTCTTTGAAAGCTCTCAATGAAAAGAAATTTGCATTAGATCAGTATAGAGTTTATGGTATAGTATGGGGTGTATAGCATTAGGCTTTGAAACAGGAACTCCCAAGCAACCAGAAACTACACTTATGGGGCATTTGCCAATCCTTATGAGGGCTAGTTCAGTGAGAGTCCACCGAACTCCAAAGCCCTAAAATGTTCACTTGAGTGACTGAGACAGAGGGTCCTTCCACACAGCCATATAACCCAGAATATCAAGGCAGAAAATCCCACAATATCTGCTTTGAACTGGGTTATCTGAGTCCACACTGCCATATATTCCAGTTCAAAGAAGAAAATGTGGGATTTTATTCAGCTGTGTGGAAGGGGCCACACAAACTTGGTTTCACACACAACATTATTTTAAAAATATCGTATGCATTGACAATACAGTCTTGCTTATCCAACATAAATGTGCTGGCAGAATGTGCAGTGTAACTGGCAAATTTAGATCCACAGAATGATTAGACGATGCGATTGGAAAATGTTTTAGTAATGAGACGCTGAGTACTTATGTTTTTACTGGTTTTATATGGTTTTATATTATATGTTAATTGCTTTTAATAGTAATTTATGTTGTTGGGGGCATTGAATTGTCCCAACTGTAAACCGCCTTGAGTCGTCTTCGGGCTTAGAAAGGTGGTATATAAATACAGCAAATAAATAAATAAGTAAATGTTGGAGGAGCAAAAATATTGAATAAGGAGGAATTAAGGAAAAGCCTATTAAACGACAAATTACGTTATGATTTTACAAATTAAGCATCAAAACATTGTGTTTTACAACAAATCAACAGAAAAAGCAGTTCAATACATCATAACGTTATGTAGTAATTACTGTATTTACGAATTTAGCAACAAAACATTCCAATGTATTGAAACAGCTGTGGATCTGGGTGGGAGGCAGACTGCGTTGGATAATACAGAATGTTTGATGAGCAAAGGTTGGATAAGCAAGACTATACTGTACACACAGCCAGCTCACTTGTCCGAACGCATCTCCCTCTATGTCCCGCCTCACAGTTTAAGATCATCCGCGGAGGCCTGCTCTCGCTCCCACCAACGCCACAAATACATCTGGCGGGGACAAGAGACAGGGCCTTCTCGGCTGTGGCCCCCCACCTGTGGAACTTGCTTCACAGTGAGGTAAGATTGGCTCCATCCCTACTGTCATTTAGGAAGAAATATTAAGTTGTGGTTCTGGGACCAGGCTTTTGGACGACAGACATAGATAGCACTTTGGACATGTAATTGGATATGGAATTGACTGGAATGATGATATGGCTATTAATACTGTTTTTTACTGTTTTAATGAATGTTTTACTTATTGTTTTAATTGTTATCATATTGCTCTGTTATATGTAGTGGCATCGAATTGCTGCAAAATGTAAGCCGTCCTGAGCCCCCCTTATGCTAATATAATATAATGTAATATAATATATTGTATATACATATCATATTTATAATACTATAATTTAATACAATACAAATAATGATCTAATATAATAATAATAATATGATATAATTATATATTTTATATTACATGTAATATTACTAATAATATTACAATATAATGGTACAGTACAATATAGTAATATATAATACTGATATGTGCTGTGCTAATATAATATAATGCAATATAATATATTGTATATACATATAATATTTATAATACTATAATGTAATACAATACAATACAACTACTACTAATGATATAATTATATATTTTATATTACATGTAATATTATTAATAATATTGCAATATAATGGTATAGTACAATATAATAACATATAATACTGATATTGTGCTATGGTAATGATATAATATATTGTATTATATTATATATAATATTGTATAATATATTGTAGGTATATATATCTTGTATCTGAGTCCCCTAAATAAAGAAATAATAAATAAAAATAATATAAATGTCCTAAATAAAGAAATAATGAATAAATATAATCCAGTTCAATGTGGGTTTTATGCAGCCGTGTGGAAGGGCCTTCCGTGTCACCAAACCTTGCTTCAATTATTTCCAAAACATTGTACAAACTTGCCATGATACGGTTGCATATCGCACAAGCCATAAATGTTGGGTCTCACCTCCATTAGGTATAGGCAAGCACTCCACATACTTCTGCTCCCAAGCCTTTCGGGAAAGGGAGGCTCAGCTTTCATCAACAAGACACATGTAAACAATCCGAGGCGGGGGGCGAGGCGGATCCAGAGGTGGAGAGCCCAGGAGGCCCCACACCTCCGAGCCCCCACCTCGACCTCGGCTCCTCGGGCGGGAGGCCAAGCGCCCCTCTCTTACCTCGGAGCCAACGACGACGGGGACGCGTCTCCCTCTCTCTCTCTCTCTCTCTGTGCTGCCACTGAGGCGGCGAAGAAGGTGAGCAGGAGCAACAGCACCACCGAGAGCACAACTCCCAGAGAGGAGGGCAGGCTAGAGCGCCCTCCTAGCAACAGCCCACACCGGAAGCGGAAGCGGTAGCGGTCCGTCACGAAGCAGTCCGCACGGGCAAGGTGACCCACGTGTGGGAAGGAAGGAAGGAGAGAGAGGGATGCTGCGGGCGGCGTCTTGGGCGCTGAGGGCGCCTTCCCGGCGGCTGCGTGAGGGCTCGGCGCCGTCGCGTTCCCTGCTGCGGGTCCCCGGAGAGGCCGCTGCGGCGGCGGCGGTGGCGGAGAAGGCAAGGGGCCCGAAGCCGCTGCGGAGGTTCATCGCCTGCCCGGAGTTGGCGCGGGACGTGGTCTCCCGGCTGGAAGGCGGCCTGCGGGGGAGCGTCGTCTTCGAGTGCGAGCCAGGTACTACTCCCTGCCCCTCTCTGGGGACGAACACTTGAGCCCTCCGGGTGTTTTGGACTTCCACTCCCGCCATTCCTCACAGCCTCGGGCCCCTTCCTTTCCCCCTCAGCCGCTCGGTTGAGGGGGAAAAGGAAAAACGTGCATCTCCATTGAAAAACTAAAATCAAAAACATATTTATTTTTAAGTTCTTGTGGGTTTTTTCGGGCTATATGGCCATGTTCTAGAGGCATTTCTCCTGACGTTTCTCCTGCATATGGCCATGTTCTAGAGGCATTGCCATAGATGCAGGCGAAACGTCAGGAGAAATGCCTCTAGAACATGGCCATATAGCCCGAAAAAACCCACAAGAACTGAGTGATTCCAGCCATGAAAGCCTTTGACAACTTTATTTTTATACCCCGCCTCCATCTCCCCGAAGGGACTCAGGGCGGCTTACATGGGGCCAAGCCCAATTACACAGAGTTAAAAACATAGCATATAAAAATACAGCAACAGTATAAGACAACATAAAACAACATTATAACAATAATAAAACAGGCATCACAAGTCTGGTATAGACTTCAAGTCTCATTATGGGAGGGCGGGCTGGTGTACAAACAAGTTATAAAACAGGCTAGTCAATAAGGCGCATAGGTCATATAGCAGTGTAAGGATAAGAGTAGTTATAACAGGGTCATTATTATTTTGAATAGTGTAGTAGTTAGGTGCAGGGACATAATTTTAGGCCATGATTAGGGCCAACTGTCAAGGGAATTGTCTAATCAAATGCACAACGGAACAACCATGAAACATAGATAGGGAGGGTGCTAGCCTGATATCCCTGGGAGGAAGTTACAGAGCCAAGGGGCCACCACCGAAAAGCTCCCATCAACCACGCCTGAGATGGGTGTGGGAGCCAGAGAAGAGCCTCCCCAGAACATCTTAGAGATCATGTGGGCTCGTAGGGGAAGATACGGTCACGAAGACAGGCAGAGCCCCCGAGTCCACGAAATGTCGCCATGGTAATTACAGTAAGAATGGCGGACGTTGCAGTCCAAAACACCTGGAATTGCCCATGCCTGATATAGGGATTTACTAAACAACAACTATATATGCAACTATTCCAATATATATATATACATTAAACATCCAAAATACAGAACATGTCTAGTCCAAAACTTTTCAGATAAGGTATGTTCAACCTGCCTCAAGCCAAGTGCTAGTTGAGGAAGAGAACAGCTGTTCATGAGAGCTATAGGGTTATTCCTTTCCGAAATGTTTGGAGGCAGAACTCTTTTGGATTTCATATTTTATTTTTGCATATGGGAGTAACTATTTTTTGCATATATGCATATAATGAGATACCTTCAAAATGTTATCTGTGGGCCCTTTCACACAGCCATATAACCCAGAATAAGTCAAGGCAAATATTTCCCCTTGACATTTAGTCTAGTCAAGTCTGACTCTGGGGGGTAGGGGGGGGGGTGTTCATATCCATTTCTAAGCCTAAGAGCTGGTGTTGTCTGTAGACACCTCCAAGGTCATGTGGCCAGCATGGAGTGCCATTACCTTCTTGCCGGAGCGGTACCTATTGATCTACACACATTTGCATGTTTTTGAACTGCTAGGTTGGCAGAAGCTAACAGTGGGAGCTCATCCCACTCCCCACATTCGAACTGCCAAACTTCCGGTCCGCAAGTTTAACCTCAGCAATTTAACCCGCTGTGCCACCAGGGGACCCAGAATCTTAAGGCAGAAAAACCAACAATGTCTGCTTTGAACTGGGTTATTTGAGGGCCCTTCCAGAATGCCATATATTCCAGTTCAAAGCAGAAAATGTGGGATTTTATTCAGCTGTGTGGAAGGGGCCTGAGTCTTGTACATATACCCTGCAGGTAATTTCATTAAACATATTAAATAAATGAAACAAAAGTTTGTGTATGTTGAACCAACAGGAAGAAAAGGGGGCACTATCTCAGCCACCAATTTTGGATTTTGGAATTCTAGATGGAATTCCAGGTGCTCATCTTATAATAATAGTGTCCAAAGGGGAATAGCATTTAGTTGTATCCACAGCTTAAGTGGCTGAGGGGCAAAGGAAAGGGCCTGAGGCTGTGAGGAACGGCGGGAGTTGCAGTCCAAAACACTCGGAGGGAGGGCCCAAGTTTGCCCATGCCTGGCCTACACTGTTAGTTAAATCTTGATGGTAGGGCAGCTTCAGTGTAAAATAATAAACTCTGGCTCTTTTCACAGGCCCTGGGGTCCTGACCCGAACACTGCTCAATGCTGGTGCACATGTGGTCGCTCTAGAGAGTAACAGCTCCTTTCTTTCTGACTTACAGGTGAGTATTTTTCTATGTTTAATTGGCCATGGATGATAGAAAAGTGTAGTTAGTAGTCATGGGTTCATCTGTGTCATCTGTTGGATTCATGTTTTCATTTCGTTCCATCCATTCGGAGGCACAGAACAGGAAGGCCCCTCCTGGAACAAAATAAACTCCAGCTCCAAGTCTGCTTTTCGGATCGCTTGCCACACACGCAGGTCCAAAGCCCCCAGGTTTGCATGGGCCTGCACCCGAGCGCTGAATAGGCAGCACTCCTTACTCGGCACTAGGCTGCAAGCCCTGGCAGGCCCAAATACTTTGGGCCAACGCTTTGGGTTGCGGAGCAAGGCCACTGGCAGCAAACGGGATGGGTCTCTAGCCCCAGCCAGGGAGCCCTTCGACTCTCCAGGTAAACCCCATCCAAAACCACATGCTGGGAAGGGGAGCCTGGGTGGGAAGCCCCCCCCCCCCCATAACAGGCCAACAGAAAACTAATCTTTCGACACCAAAAACAAATATTTCGGGAGGTTCAGTAGAAACAGATTGGGGGGCCCACTGAAAGCCAGGACACTAAATGTTTACCTCAAGTGCACACAACTAGTAGTTAGAAAGAGAAGTATTTATAAATCACACCAACCCTAACACTCATGGCTAATGGGCTGTGTGATGAGACCTGTGGTACAGAAGAAAATCTGGAATGTCTCAAATCCTTTTCTCCCATGGGTGGGATTCAAAGTAGCATATGGTGTTAAAAGCAACAGAAATTGCAAACATAAAATTCAACAAGAACACAGTAGACTAAATAAACAAATTACACATTTCATAACCCATATAAAACAAATTAATAAATTACAACATATACTATTACAAAAATTCCTGAACCTCTAGCCACTGAGGATATCCAAAACAACTGTTATGTTAAGATCCTAAAAACTCCCTTTTCTTTAGGCTGTTTAAAAACATTGCTCAGTCCTTTTTGACCTTCTAACATTAGCCTTTTTTAGGCCATGTAAAAATATTGCTCAGTTCAAAATAATCTTCAGAGATGTACATCAACAACAGCTGTTTGACCATTGTCTGTCATAGATCATCAGGAAAGGCCTGCTCTCATAAAAAGGTCTTCCCCTGGGAGTGAAAGGCCAATAGCGAAGGGGCCAAACAAACTTTTGGGGAGGGAATTCCTGAGCCGCAGGAGCATCACCTGGTCTCTTGTCCCCACTAAGCACACTTGTGACAGTGGTGGGACAGAGAAAAGGGCCTCTCCTGACGATCTCACAGCTCATGTGGGCTCATAGGAGGAGATGCGGTCCCTCAGATGGGATGTATAAAGAAATTCGTGTCGGAGAATTAGGGAAATTGATGCATTCTTTGCCTAAATCAGGACCCCCTAAACTTTTTCTACTCTTAATCCCTTTCCACCTGAGGGACTTTTACGCAACACAGAGTAGATAGGTGTATAAAAAATTAAGGTTTTGCTGATAATCAAAAGCATTTACTTTCTAAATAGGCTGATTTTCCTTTCTATTAAGCATTTTCTGCAGAGTCCATTGTAAACACTACACGTTGTTGCTAACAAATTCATTTCAGTGGAATATGTGTAATCGACATCTGGAATGACTCAGTCTATGAGTTTGGATTATGTGATTTTAAAGTTTTTATTAGGTGTTTTTAATTTTTATACTTAATGTTTTGATGTCCTTTGAATTTGTCCTATTGTATTTTATGCTTAGTCATAAGCTGTTTGATTTATGATTTGGTTTATGAATGTTAAGGCATTGAATATTGCCATTATTTTTTGTTAGGAGCCAAATGTTTTGTTACCCAAACATTGAACTAACAGAATCAGTGGTCTAGATCAGAGTTTCTCAAACTGTGTTCCTCTAGTTGTTTTGGATGTTAGCTCCCATAATTTTTAACAGCTGGTAAACTGGCTGGGATTTTTGGGAGCTAAAGTCCAAAACACCTGGAGGAGCACAATTTGAGAAACATTGGTCTAGATAGTCAGTGCTCAGCTGGAAAGATAAAAAAGCCACAGTTTCATATACTCAAATAATCTGTTTGTTTATATTTAGTCTCTCAAAAATAAACTAGATGGCCAGCTGGAAGTTGTGCATTGTGACTTCTTCAGATTGGACCCTATCAATATGGGATCGATGACGCCCCCTGTGATGTATTCTGATAAATTGTTTGAGAACTTGGGCATCTCATCTGTTGCTTGGACAGCAGGTAAACTGACTGATTGCATTTACATTTCCTCCATTTGGTTCACTTAAGATGGGATAAGTTCAGGTAACATTTCATATGATAGAAAAGATGTTATAAAGAGAAAAAACAATTAAATACAGTGTTAAATACAATCGATTATTTCCATCATATATTTGAACAGTAATTATTGTTGTATTTCAACTTCCCCCAAAAGTGATGTTTAAGCAACAGATCCTCCTCCTCGTGGATGCTGCTTTTGTTTGCCTCCTCCCTGGTTAATGCCATAGCAAAGGAAATGCATGGAAACTAAACAGAGAAAGAGGCCTCACTTAAAAGACTTCGCTTTCTCTCTCCTAGGGCTTCCATTGCTGCCTCCATTAAGGCCGTTATTACCCTCTTCATATATGTTATTGAATGTTTGCTGATAATTTGTCTAATGCAGTTATTTATTTATTTATTTACCTTACTTATATACCGCTGTTCTCAGCCCGAAGGCGACTCACAGCGGTTCACAACAAATACGAACAGCAAAAATTCAGTGCTACAGTATAGAAACAGTTAACAACCTAACACATTACACAATTAATAAACAGTTACTACAATACCCATTCACTGTCGTCTCATCATCAAAAACATGTTCCAGATTCGTCATCCATTGTTCCATTCCAGTGTTCATTAACCAATCATTATATGGTCAGTGTAGACTCATACAATACATATTGAACTGCAGTCTTCACTGCCTTATAATTCAGTTCAATGTAGTTAATCTGCATTCTGAAACCACATTATATGGCAGTGTAGATGGGGCCCCACTTTATCAAGGGTTGCTCTTGTTAGATGGTGCTCCTCAAAGCTTTTAGCACTCTCTTCCTATTGGGATGAGAGGGAGAAGTAAGCTATTGCAGGATGTTCATCATTTACTGCTGGAAATGAACTTATTGCAGGTAAGACAATTGTTTATATCTCTGGTATAAGAAATAGGAGAGCTTACATAAGGCCTAAGAACACAAATTTAAATTTATTAACTTCATCACTCATTTCGTTGAGATAAATGTTTATTTTATCCTTACGATAAAGACATAAGCACTGTATTTTTCATACACCCTGTTGCTTTTTCAAAACAGATATTCCTCTAAAAGTGGTTGGAATTGTCCCACAAAAAAGAGAAAGGAACTTCCTTTGGAAGCTCATCTATGCCTTATATGAACGCAATTCTATATATAAATATGGAAGAATGGAGCTGAACTTGTTTGTCAGTGAAAAAGAATACAAGGTACAAGAAATGTTGCTAATAGGTGAAGTGCCTTTGCTTTTTAAAAAATAATATGAAAACAATTTTCAATGTGATAAGATATTTGTTTTGACTTTGACAGCTAGTATTTGTGCTAGCTGGTTTTGCAGATAAATCATTGTGTAAGGAATTATTTTGCAGGTAGTTCTCTCGGCCTCAAAAGAACTAGCGGTTAGGTATTTGACAGCACTTTCTCCAATTGTAATGAAACAGCACCTGAAATCCAGTAGTTAACAGCTGCCAAAAAACAGAAGTCTGCCCTAGAGGGTTTGGGGGAGTTTTAATTTTGGTGAAGGGAAGCCAGGAAAGTAGGGAAGTCCCATTATATTCCACCTAAGAAATTATATTATCTAAGAAAGTCTGCTTGTCTGGTGTTTGCTAAGATCCACAGCATTTGTTTTACAGAGGAAAAAAAAGTTTCAGAATTTCAGCCATTTGTTTGATTTTCCCTTGGAATTAATATGTTCTGTCAGTTTTCCAAGGTGGATACTGGAAGCCTTTATCCTTGTTAGGGGTATGTGTTCATGCATGTGTACGTATGCAATGAGGAAGTCTTACACAAGGAAAAGTACTATGCAAATACCTAAGGGCATTTTATTATTTGGAACAAAGTTGCCTCACTGGGTGTGGGCTTTATATTCATGTGATATAACCAAACTCTGGCAAGTATTTGGAAAATTGCAATACTGATCAACAAACTTTCAGTGCAGAACTAATCTCAATAGTTTAATGAGGTTAGTTGTTACGTAAGAACTGAGTACAAATCGTCTTATTGGTTGCCCATCTGTGTTGGAAAAACATTAAGTCTTAGCTTTTTTATTGTATCAGAAGTGAATTGAGGATACAGTTATAAAGTATAAAAAAAAACCACAACTTTAAAAAATTGGCATTATACTGAATTTCCTTTGACCAGAAGCTGGCCACTTGGAGTCGCTGTAAGGAGGTCCTCCATTGTGCATGTGGCAGGGCTCAGACTACATTCTAGTAGGTGGTCTGTGGTTTGCTCTTGTCCACACTTGCATGTTGTGGACTCTACTTTGTAGCCCCATTTCTGTTCAGCGCTTTCCTAGTTACCCAAATCTTAGCCGGTACTCACATTTACATGTTATCTTCCTGACTGCAACAGAAACAATTCTCTTATGGTATATAAATGCTTCTAATAGGACTTTCTCCTGTGTAATGCTGGTCTGTATCTTCATAAAATTTTCTGGTGATATTTTGAAATCGCTGTCATATGTTTTTATTGTGAAATGCTGAAATATAACTTCTGTTTTGTCTTTGTCAGACTCTTGTTGCAAAGCCTAAAGAAGCGAGAATTTATCAAGCACTTAGTGTACTTTGGCAAACAGCTTGCGATATTCAGCTTCTGCATATGGTATGTGTTTTGCTTTTATAATATAAATGCCTTGGCCTTTGGAACTTAATAGTAATGTTAGATGCGTTGCAGAAAATTGAAATATTTTCAGGGTGATGTATAAACTTAAAGTTGATTTGAATCCATCTCTCCCTGAGTGCAAACAGGAAGAGTTTCTTCCTTCTCTTGGATGAGAATGCTCTCATGACATATGTGTAGGAAAGAGTGCCTACTTGCTTTTTTATAGAATGGTGCATGTCACTGAAAGAGGAATAGGTTAATACTGTTTATGTAAGAAGCAGTTCACCCACATCACCTGTAAATTTAATCAGCTATCATCACTTTCAAGCAACACTTTTGTCTTTTCTGTTCATTTCTTAGATTATGAATGCTTATATTTTTATCCTAAGATCTATTATTTATTTATTTGCTGTATTTGTATACCGCCTTTCTCAGCCAATTGGCGACTCAAGGCGGTTTCCAACAAATCAGTATACATAAAACGTAATAATAGATAAAAAACATTAAACAGTATAAGACATCACAAAAGCAATAAAAGCAACATCATCAGCATCTCATTATTCTCAAGCATTATTATTTGATCCGTTCATGTCTTTTTAAGGGGTGGTGGTTTCTACTGCTCTGCAAAGTTACTGCTGAAAGTTGGAGGAATTTGTAAGTTTATAAAACTGACATTTTTCTTCATGTAAGACACCAGATTTGATCTGGGAATTAAGGAGGGAAAAACCCTGGTTATTACTTAGATGGGAGGCCACAGATTTATTTATTTCTCTGTTGGGTTTACTGTTCCTCCTAATGGGATCCAAGGTGGCTTACAATAATGGTAAGAAGATATCATTAAATCAGTTTATTTTACAAAAAAAAAAAAGGAATTAAAATGCTAATATAACTACGTATTTAAAATACATTTTCAAAGGTCAAAAGAGTAAAATGTTAAAAAATACACCACTTATATAAGCATATGATACATCCCCATGATTAAACATTCAAGGTTCACAAACTTGCATAATAAAAGCATTTTCACTGCTGGCAGACAGAGAGAAGGGAAGGGCCAGTTGGACTTCCTGTCTACCAGTAGAAGGCTCCCTCCGGGAATCCTCACTAATTCTACCCATGAAGCTGGTGGGACTGAGAGAAAGCCAATGCGCTGCAGTCCTTAGCACTCATACTGGCTTATATAATGAAATACCATCTTCCAGATAGCTAGGCCCCATTGGTGATTACTCATAAAAAAGAATGGGTAAAATCAACTCTGAGCATTCCTGGCCTAAGAAAACCCTATGAAATTCTTGGGGTCACCTTAAGTCAACAGGCAGCTTCTTGTACTAGTACTACTACTAATACATTTTATTTGTTACCCACCTTCCTCACAGCTTAAGACTGGGCACAATACAATTAAAATACATCATTATAAAATACATTCAGAAAAATGCATATATTAAAACACATTTAATTGAATACTCATTAAAATACGTAGAACAAAGATTAAAATACACTAATCATAGACTTTAAATTCAAAATTAATTGTTAAAATTGACTTTGTAGGCCTGCCAGAAGAGAGAGGTCTTCGATTGTCTCTGGTAGACACACACACACGATAGAGATACTTAGCTTTATATCTTTCAATCAGCAAGTACTTAGTACTGGCTATTAGCATTCTGGCTGATTTCTTCAGTTTAACTTTTGATTTTATTCTTTCTTCAAAATGTTGTATTCTACTGACTGTCAGCATGGCTTCTAAAAACTCCTGTTTTAAATTTCTGTCACTTTAGGAGCCTTGGTCTTCATTTTTAACTAACTCAAGAAGTGGTGGACTCTCCATACCAAAGAGTGTGGTAAGCTCTGTGTACCTAAATGCTAACACAAATATAATGGAAATCTTTATGCCGACTAATTATTCTTTATAACAAATATTTAATAGAAAGACATGCTGTTGGGAAGAAATGTACTCTGACAGTGTTGGAAAACCCTATATGTGCTCATATGATACTGACAATTCATGATGCTTGACGTTTCCTATTTGTGGATTTTCATAATTTAAGGCAGATGCAGCAAAGCGAAGATTTAGGAGTATATGTGAGTTCACCACTTTTGAAAGTCTGCAGGAGTAGCGATTTCAATTTAAAACAGGACGTGGCAACCCTGTACTGTTTGCTACTTTAAAAATATCAATTTTAATATCAGAATTGGACTGTGCTTTGTTTTCATTTTTACACATTATTGGGATTCTCTTCAGAGGATTGGCCCTTGGACTGGTCAGAATAGCCCTCCCACAGTATAGAATACAGGGGCTCTCAGATTATTCTATTTGGCTTAAGACAGTGAATGCCATGTTAAGAATGAATTTAAATCTCAAGACTGCTGTTTCAGAGAAAAGCACAAAGAATAATTTTGCTGTGCAATTATAATGTCGGTTCTCAAAAAGTGCTTTCTTCTTATGCCAGATCAATATTTGCAAGTCTCTTCATTTGATACAATCTAGATTGCAATCTCTGTTTTGCTATAGTAATGCAATAATTGTGACATTCACCATTATGGAACAGATACCCCTCTTACATAATGATTTGTAATTAAAGCATTGCTGGAATTTCATGCAATGAGGTGATAATTTGTGCAATATTGGAATTCCTAATGAAATTCCCATGTTAGTGTGCAGTTTATTTGTAAACTATATTTCTTGTATAGAATAATAATAGTAAAAATGCATGTGCATTGATTATTTAATGCATTAATATGATTGATCTTGTTTTGTTCTTCCTGCAGCTATTGCAGAATGACCATTTATGCTTATTACGAATGACGCCTCGGAAGGATTTATTTGCAAACAACATGACAGCTGCTAATTCAGGCATATTTATTGTGATGGTAAAACAATGCCTTGCTAAGAGCAAGACAAAATTAATAGATAAATTAAAGTAAGTCAAAATTAATTTAGCCCATTGATAAACAATAAGCAATAGAATGTAGCAGAATATGCAACTTGTATGTAAATCCAAAAAAATAGCATGCAGAACAAACTTTGAAGATTTACAGATTTTTAAAGCAGATATCAAGATGACAAATGTGACCAAATATTTCTTGTACCTGTTAGCTCTCAGATACAGTAAGTGAGATCCGAACAATTTCCAGGCCAGTGTAATCCCCTGTTGTGTCAGTTACTCTTTTAAGAACTACTACTATTTTTATAATCTGCTAAGTGCTGTGCGTTTTTTGTGTGTTTTTTGCAAGGGGAGAGAGAAGGAGGACAGAAACACAAAACCAAGTTCCTTTGGGAAAGTGGACCCAATTTCTGGTTCTTTCATTTTTGACTAGCTGGATTCAGAGATGCGCTTTAGGTATGCCTCAGGGCATATTCTTGTTTGAATAACAGGGCACCATGTCTTGTGATGAGCCACTATTGGGATCAGCCATGAGACTAGGGCCATGGCTGCTCCATAAATGTAAACCAAGACTTTTTTTCCTTCTCCCCAAATTTAGATATTGGTCATTTATATTTTAAGTGTCGTAGAGACTTTTAAAGCATACATTTTAAATTTGAATATGCTGTAGTGCATAAACTACATGCAAAAATTAAGAGATGGAAGTCAAGAGTTTTCACTGCCAGGAAAATGAATTTGTATTGTATAATTAATTAAGGAGTAAGGATTATGTGTCAAACTGACTATGGCATGCTGCAACAATAGCTTGCAGAAAAAATAGTTGCAATGTGGCATGTTTCTAAACAAGGTTCCAAATGCAATTTTTAGTTTTCACTCCCTGGTTTTCCTATCACTGAGTCAAGTGTTTTGTTGCCACTGCCTTTCTTAGCCTGTAAAATGTTTTTCTTTTGTTTGGGATTTTTGCCTCTTTCATTTAGTGCCCCCTTGTTGTCCATCTCTCTTATGTCCCTGGAAACATTCTGAAGTAATTTATTTGAGCCTTCCTGTCACCTTCCAGCTGCTCTGTCCCTTTCCTCCCATCACCTGTTTCCTCCTCAGACACACTTTCTGTACTGTGTTTCTTCTTTCTCTCAAAATCCCCTCTCATTGAATCATCATTGGGATGCTATCTGCTCCTTCTCTCTCTCTCTCAAAATCCTCTATCATTGAATCATCATTGGGGTGCATGTTGGGGTATGAGGTGGTATTCAATACATCTGAAATATAGCCTGCAGCACCAGGTCTTCATTGGCAGTCTCCCATCCAAGTGCTAATCAAGACTAATTTAGCTTTAAAGATCTGGTGGGACAAATGGTGCTTTTGGGATATTTAGGAGACTGCTCATAGACCTCTTAGGCCTGGAACATATTTGCAATGTTACATTTGATATTAGGAGTAATTTGCCTATGCGGAATTAAGCCAGTTGAGAGTTATGTGAAGGTCTGAATGAACTGTCATGTTTGAACACTATACTGTGCTTCAGAAACATGTATTTGAGAAGTATCTTTTGATATTCCCATCTCCCCCCCCCCACCCACCCCCAATGTTCTGATGGTGGTTAGATTGAAGATATACTATACACTAAAACCATATAATAATTTTAACAAGACTTTGGCATATCTCAGAGATGTTATACCCAAATATCATACAGTGACTGTTTTTCAATGCTTTGTATTTCAGTTTATGGAGTTGTGAGAGTGGGAAGAAACTGTTGAGACAGTTGGAGATACCAGAAAACAGTACGACAGGAAGTTTGTATCCAGAACAGTACAGATCTCTTTTCGAGCTTATATTACAGTGTAATGAATTTGACCAAAGTTGGCTATATGACGATGACTGCTTGGAAGATAGCCGAGGCGTAAATTTATAGTAAACTCTGGTTTCAAGCAGAGTTTTGTGAGTTGGAATATGGCTTGAAGTTACCATCAGGGGTGTTATTTTTATGTAAGTAAAAATCCAAAATGTCTGGAAGAAAAAAAGAACAGCACTGAAGTTTGAAAGGCAAAACCCTATGTCTTAAAACACTGCAGGGAATGAATTTCTTGCATTATACTTGGAAGTGCATTTGTAAAAAAGGTCAGTGGTGACATGTTCTGCTGGAAATTTCAGAAATAACAGCTAACAATCCATAAACTAATTGTGCAAGAATTGTTTTGTGAGGGGGAAAAGTGTACTCCAAAGCAGAATGTATTCAATCAACAATGACTAAAAACCACAGGATGCAAAAAGAGGAAGGAAATGTGCTTTTCTGGATTAAAAAATTGCTTTCAGATATTTAAGTTACACTGGAACTGGCTAAAAATGGTATAATGTCTGCATAAACCCTTTTCCCATTTATGTGTATAATAATATTTTCATGTGTACATACCTACACAATATATATGAACACGTTTCAGTTTGACCTACTTCCAGATGAGGATTTTTACTACAGTATAAGAAGCTTGTATTATATTACAGTCCCTAATTTATTAAAAAAATGTAAATATTTGTATTATAGAACACAATTAAAGCAGTTTTAATGAACATAGTTCTGTTGTGTCAGATTTTTTGTTGTAGCTGTATCTTCGTATTATCTCAGACTTGGGGTAGAGCTGAATCCAGAGAAGTTACACAGAATGAATCTGAACAATGACTTCTCAACCCCTCCTCCCTCTAGCAATCTCAAACTATCTTTCAATGGTTGAAACCCTTTTGTGTGTTGGATGAATCACTGTTTAGCAGAAAGGGGAATTAGCCTCTTTGGCCATAGCACACTCTTCCAAAGAGTGCCCTTCAGTTTGATTTTTCTGGAGGAAAAAAAAACTACTGTAGAGAAGAGGGAGGAATACAGGCATTTTGTCAACTTTGACAGATATAAAAAAAATTGAAATGTGATAATTTACAATTACTCCCTTTGTTACAGTTTTAAGTGTTAGGAATGGCTGGAAGAACCTGCTTCATTCACATTGGGTGTAATCCTGATTTAATCCTAACATCTTACATTAAACCCGATGGAGCTTTCCTCTTAGTTGTAAACTAGGTCGCACTCTGTAATGTAATTGCTGCTAACTCCCAAGGAAATCAAATTAGATTTAGGTTATGATTCACAATAATTTTCAGTATGAAAAGTGGAACTAACTTTGTTTGGATAAAGCACAGATTCTTTTCCCCCTACTCCCAGATGCCAAAGTCGGTTTACAACTTATTTCAAGATTAGACTTACTTTGCTGCTGCTTTTTGCTGCAAAGTCCTAGAATATAACAGGCAAAGACCTAAACAAAAAAAAAAGCCTAGGTTTAAAATTACAAAATTTTGGATATAATAATTTGTTTAGGTTCCTGAAATGAAATTGATTCAATCCTTCCACTCAAAAATCTATTTCACAAGTAGAGGAGTTGGTGGATCAGTGTTATTAAAGAACAGAATCAGATGTTCTTGCCAATCTTTCAGTTCCCATGAAACACAGATGCGTTTTGCGCCAATATTGCACAAAATATAACCAGACAAAATAGCCCAAGGCATTTATCTTCTACCATCCTTTAAGTACTGAATTAATTGCATCTGGAAATGTAGTCTGCCTTAATGGACTACAATTTATTTTGAATATTTAAGAGGGGGCAATTGATGATAATTGAAGGCAAAATTGCCTGTTACAACAGACAATAATACAAAAGCCACTGCACAAATTTTGCCCCTGACACCCCTGGAAAAAAATTAATTTTTAATTTTACAGCAAAGCTAAACTGCTTAGAATGTTTGACTATTCCATTATTCAATGAGCTGAAGTTTTCCTCTTGAGAGGAAGGAGTCAAGTTACACAGCAAAGTAGACTCAATTACCTGTAGCAAACACTGCTCTTGGCAATATGATCTCATTTGCGCACTGCATTGTGCCATGTCAGTAAGCAACAAAAGCAAGACTGTAAAGGAGCTACATTACACCTAGTTCTCATTGGAGGCCTGAGTGCAAATTAAAGCTGGACATTATCAGACAGAACCTTATTAAGGAAGAGTGCAGATAAATAAAATACAGGAGTAGGTTGCTAAAACAATGTTCAAAAGTAGGACCAATCATGCAAGTTCTCGGATGATTGGAACAAAAAAAATATTTCCCTATTTTCTGTAACACAAAATTAATTTAAAATCTTTAAATTAAATGAATCAATGTTTGTAGATATAACAGCTTATTTTAAAAGACTGATACAATATCTGTCAAGTTTTCCTGTATTTTATGTAGTTTTTCTGTACATATGGGTACAAGAAATAAATAGTTACCAATAGTATAAAAACCACGATACAAAAATGAGAGAAAATAGAAAGATTCTGATAAATTAAGTAGTGGTGCCATCTACCTGTGGTTTGGCCAATTTGTTCTCATTTTAGCTATGTTTATATAAAATCTAAGAAACTAATTTAATGTTACCTAGGTTTTAGGATTTTCAGGAAACATGCAAAATAATAAAACAGCTATTTGATTTTGTTATTAAGAGTAAAATACAAAAGGTGAATCTGAACAAATCTCTTAAAAGAACACATTCATACTTCTTTTCTGCAAATATAATAATCCAATTTTTCATTTGTATCTGGCTCACTGTCCCTGGGTTCAGAACAGAAAAAGAGCATGAAAAGAGCAATATTGATTTGAATTACCAATTCTTTTTGCACAGGTTTTTTTTCTTGTGTCAGGAGCGACTTGCAAGTCGCTTCTGATGTGAGAGAACTGGCCGTCAGCAAGGACGTAGCCCAGGGGAGGCCCAGATATTTTGTGTTGTACCATCCTGTAGGAGGCTTCTCTCATGTCCCCGCATGGGAAGCTAGAGCTTAACAGACAGGAGCTTACCCCGCTCCCTGGATTTGAACCGCCAACCTTTCAGTCGACAAATTCAGCCGGCACAAGGGTTTAACCCATTGCACCAATGGAGGCTCCACAGTGATAAACCAGACGTCCGTCCAAATACAATGTGAAGACTATAGCACCTCCTGCTTGTATTCCCCAACAAATGCTATTTTAAGACAAATGCTGCCTTTGGAACTGTGGATAATAACAGTTATGTGTTCTTTAAAACATTCTGCAAAACTGTCCAAAGATTGGGGCCATCATATATTGTGATAGCAAATTCTAAAGTCTGTTATATAAAAGATTCACTTAACAGCTAAATCTTTCTCTCATTCACCAATTAGAATTCTAGCAACTACTGTAAATATCAATGAACATGACCAGCATACAACCATGCCAATACTACTAAAACAATCATATACGAAAAATGTGTATCTGAAGTGGCAACAAGCGTGGCTTTAATACTGAACAGAGACTGGGATGACCCTTCAGCCACGGAAGCCCACACTCTTCCAGCCTGGGAATCACACGACAAATCTTGCAAACAACAAAAAAAACCATAACCAACCAAAAACCATGACAGGTTTTGTCTTAGAGTTGCTATAAACTGGAGATGACATAAAAGCACATGGCAATTAGACCCATCAAATACCAAGAAGAGGACGGTCTGTGCTATAATTTTGATATGTGATGGGCCTAACTGTTGTGCGCCTTGTATTTTGGCCCTACCATGAGATGACACTAGAAAAGATAAGGACACTTGCTAAGTTGGTAGAACAGAGATGACACTAGAAGTGATAAGGACACCTGCTAAGGTGGAGGTTGGTAGAAGAGAGGAAGACTGCGTTACAGGTGGAGAGTCTCAAGTGAAGGGACCAATGGCCTTCAGTGTGATCCAAGGTCTCATTTTTTGGGTTTCAATACATCAAAGCCCACTTGATGGCCATGAGCAACAAGAAGGTCTGCTCACCCAATTGGTCTCCAGTAAGAGATAGTTTGTCTCTATGTTCTCAGGAATACTGGGTGTTTCAAAATGATGGACTCAGCTTCAAAGTAGTATATTTTACGATGGCAACATGTTCAAGACAAAGTGTTACGAATTATCAGGTTTTCAAATTTTACTAACCATTTTGAGCCAGAAATTTAAAAACAAAACAAAACAAAATGGAGAATATCTCATCAGGCCTTGTTGCAGCATTGCCCTCTTTCAAATGACAGAGGCAAAGAACTTTTTGTTCACTGGGAGAGGCATCTAGTGATAAATCTTTGAAACTCTATGTGCCTCCCCCCCTTGAAGGAGTGGTTGCAGAGATACAGAAATTTCAAATCAAGCCCTGTACTATGAGATGGAGGACACAGCTGCACTGACATCTTTGGAGGAGGTTTTGCGTATACAAATGATTGACAACTGCATGAATATCTCTTATGGCTTTACCCATCATGGCCTTATGTAATAGAATAAATAAATAAGAAATAGCCTTGCACCTATCCACTAGGATAAATACTGTATAAGGCATATATAGGTATCTATCTGGTACAGGCATGGGCAAACTTAGGCCCTCCATGTGTTTTGGACTTCCAACTTCTACTATTCCTAACAGTTGGTTTGCCTGACTGGTGATATTTGTGGTGGATATGTTCCACTTATATACAGTCCAGACAAGAACTGTTTGACTTTCGGATGCTGTGAAACTTCCATTCTCAATGACCGCTAGTGAACACACTGAATGGCAAGGAATGCTGGAAGTTGCGGTCCAACTCTACTTGAAGGGCTGCACAATTACCATCCATGGTATAAAGTGATAGGTGGCAAAATTGGAGACCATATTTATACCAATGTATGAGGGGAAATGCAGGATAAAGGGGAGGGGGGGACCCCAAAAGGATTACCCTATAGCCTTCTAGGATTTGCAGTTCATAGCACATTGCCATGGCACCTGAAGTGGAATCATAGTGTAGTTTACTGTTGACTGTGAAATGTTTAAGTGACAGAGAAAAGTCAACATCAGGCGCATCCACACTGTAGTTAATCCTGTTTGATCTCATTATAACTGTCATGGCTTAATGCTACGGAATCCTGTGAGTTGTAGTTTTGCAAAGTCTTTGGCCTTCTCTGCGAAAGAGCCTGGTGCTTTGTCACACTACAACTCCCAGCATTCCTTAGCATTGAGCCATGGTGGTTTATGTGACCACATCTCTCCTTATGAACCTATTTGGGCCTTAAGATCAGCTGGGGATCTGATCCCCTCAATCCCACCTCCCTCAGAAGTGAAGTTGGTGGGGACGAGGGAGTGGGCCTTCTCAATAGTGGTCCCTCAACCCTGGTATGCTCTCCCCAAGGAAATAAGGCAAGCACCCACTCTTCTCACCTTCAGGAAGGAATTGAAAACCTGGCTATTTAAGCAGGCTTTTGATAATGGCTAGAGTACTACCTAATTATTCGGACAAGACTTGAATTAGAATGTTAATCATAATGCTGGATATATTGATAACTGGAACTGACTGGTTTAAACAGTGTTTTTATTTATAGTTTTTAGAGGACAAATAGCTTTTAAACTGTTATTTATTTTTTATTTATCGTGCCAGGAATGATCCAAACAGTTGTACTGTATTTTTTTTTAAACCACAAAGTTTGCAAACTTGACATTCTATTAAATGCCCTTTGACCAGTAGGTGTCCACTTGGAGTGCCTCTGGTGTTGCTGCAAGGAGGTCCTCCATTGTGCATGTGGCATGGCTCAGGGTGCATTGCAGCAGGTGGACAGTAGTTTGCTCATTCCACACTCACATGTCGCGGATTCCACTTTGTAGCCCCATTTCTTAAGATTGGCTCTGCATCTTGTGGTGCCAGATCGCAGTCTGTTCAGCGCCTTCCAAGTCACCCAGTTTTCTGTGTGCCCAGGAGGGAGTCTCTCATTTGGTATCAGCCATTGATTGAGGTTCTGGGTTTTAGCCTGCCACTTTTGGACTCTCGCTTGCTGAGGTGTTCCAGCGAGTGTCTCTGTAGATCTTAGAAAACTATTTCTTGTTTTAAGTCATTGGCATGCTAGCTGATACCCAAACGGGGTGGGCTGGAGATGTCCCTGCCTTGGTCCTTTCACTATTGGCTGCTACTTCCCGGCGGTGTCAGGTGGTGCAATACTGGCTAAACAGTGTAATTTCTCCAGTGATGTAGGGCAGACACCCCGTGATAATGCGGCATGTCTCATTAAGAGCCACATCCACTGTTTTAGCATGGTGAGATGTGTTCCACACTGGGCATGCATACTCAGCAGCAGAATAGCGTAGCGCAAGGGCAGATGTCTTCACTGTATCTGGCTGTGATCCCAAGGTTGTGCCAGTCAGCTTTCGTATATTATTTCTAGCACCCACTTTTTGCTTGATATTCAGGCAGTGCTTCTTGTAGGTCAGAGAACGGTCAAGAGTAACTCCCAGGTATTTGGGTGTGCCACAGTGCTCCAGTGGGATTCCTTCCCAGCTAATCCTCAGAGCTTGAGATGCTTGTCTGTTCTTAAGATGAAAAGCCCATGTCTGTGTTTTAGATGGATTAGGAATCAGCTGGTCTAGGCAGTAAGATCACCTAGAGCTTTGGAGATCTTCTGTTCAACCATCTCAAAACTCCCTGCTTGAGTGGAGATGGCACAATCGTCAGCATAGATGAAACTCTCTGTCCCTTCCGGCAGTGGCTGGTCATTTGTGTAAATGTTGAACATGGATGGAGCAAGCACACTCCTCTGAGGCAGGCCATTCTTCTGTTTTGGCCACCTGCTTCTTATTTATTAATGTTTATACTATTGTGTAATTTAACTGTATGTAGTGATATTTGTTTATTGTTGATTATTTATTGCTTATATTATTTCTGTATCTGTTGGTTGTTGTAAGCCATCCTGAGTCCCTTTGGGGAGACAGAGCTGGGTACAAATAAGGATAATAATAATAATAATAATTATTATTATTATTATTAAAAGGAGCCGTGGTGGTGCAATGAGTTAAACCCTTGCGCCGGCTGAATTGCTGGCCTGAAGGTTGGTGGTTTGAATTTGTGAGATGGGGTGAGCTCCCGTCTGTCAGCTCCAGCTTCTAATGCAGGGACATTAGAGCAGCCTCCTACAAGGATGGTAACAAAACCAGGCATCCCCTGGACAATATCTCTGCAGATGGCCAATTCTCTCACACCAGAAGCGACTTGCAGTTCCTCAAGTCCCTTCTGACACTATTAAAATATTATTATTAAAGCAGTGTCAAGCCGCATTAACTCTGCAATGTGGACAGGTGCAAAGACACAATATCTATACAGAGATCTTTCTGGGCCAGGAATCTTTATGAACTTGGAAAACAAAAAAACCCAAAATCCAATTAAAAATAATAATAATAACCCGAAAAGTATATCCTTATAGCTGTGGAAGAAAAGGGAAGGCTGTGCATGCAGGACATGGCCGCCAGGAGACCTCATCAGGGCATGCCCTTCTTTTGCCCGCACTCAAGATGGCCCCTGCGGCTACAAAAACACGTCACGTGGGCCGAGAGGCGGGAAGGGCGCCGCTAAGCCAGGGCCTTTCCGCGCGGTTCTTGCCCCCTGTGAAAACGCCGATGGAGAAGTTTGCCAGCCCGGGCAGAGGCAACGGCCTCCGCCTCTCGAAGGCCGTCAAGGCCGGGGCGCTGCTGTACCGCGAGGAGCCCTTTGCCTATGCCGTCACCAAGAAGCGCCTCGGCACCGCGTGCGAGCGATGCCTGCGCAGGTAGGGCGATTCTCGGCCCGGCCCTTCGCTTCTCCCCTTCTCTCCGCCGCCCTCGCGCCGCCAGGTGGCGCTGCCGGGCCGCCTCGCGAAGAAGAAACCCCGCCCTTCGTGACGTGGCGCCCCGCCATTGGCTTTTATCTCCTGTTCCCACTGCCGTGTGCCAGGCAGTCATTGCAGCACAGGAAGTGAGAGGAGATTGTATGGGTGCTTCAAACCTAAACTTGGGGGAGAGGGACCCAAGAGGAGGAGGAGGATTTAACTAGGAAGCATCTATAGAGCCATGCTGGAGGGCCTAGAAAATGCCTAAAGGGGACATGGACACATGAAACCACAGATACTATTCCCATGAATATAGGGCAGCCATGGGGCAACTTGGGCCCACCTTCCAGGTGTTTTGGACTTCAACTCCCATCATTCCTAACAGCCTCAGACTCTTTCCTTTCCCCCCTCAGCCGCTTAAGCGGCTGAGGGGGAAAAGGAAAGAGCCTGAGGCTGTTAGGAATAATGGGAGTTGAAGTCCAAAACACCTAGAAGGGGCCCCCAAGTTGCCCCATGCCTGATATAGGGGTTCTACTAAACAACAACTATATATGCAACTATTCCAATATATATATATTAAACATCCAAAATACAGAACATGTCTAGTCCAAAACATTTCAGATAAGGTATGTTCAACCTGCCACAAGCTGTGTTAGTTGAGGAAGAGAACGGCTGTTCATGAGAGCTATAAGGTATTCCTTGTTCAAAATGTTTGGAGCCAGAACCGTTTTGGATTTCAGATTTTTTTGTGTACATTTTGGAATAACTTTTTTGCATGTATGCATATAATAAGATTCCTTCGAAATGTGACCTGAAGGCCCTTCCACACAGCCATATAGCCCAGAATAAGTCAAGGTAAAGATTTCCTCTTGACATGAAGTCTAGTCACTCAGGGTGGTGGTGGTGCTCATCTCCATTTCTAGACCTAAGAGCCGGTGTTGTCTGTAGACACCTCCAAGGTCATGTGACCAACATGGCTGCATGGAGTGCCGTTATCTTCTTGCCAGAGTGGTACCTATTGATCTACTCACATTTGCATGTTTTTGAACTGCTAGGTTGGCAGAAGCTGGGGCTAAGTGGGAGCTCACCCTGCTCCCTGCATTCAAACCCAGAATATAACCCAGAATAAGTCAAGGTAAAGATTATTATTATTTCCTCTTGACATTAAGTCTAGTCAAGTCTGACTCAGGGTGGTGGTGGTGCTCATCTCAATTTCTAGGCCTAAGAGTTGGTGTTGTCTGTAGACACTTCCAAGGTCATGTGACCGGCATGACTGCATGTAGTGCCGTTGTCTTCTTGCCACAGTGGTACCTATTGATCTACTCACATTTGCATGTTTTTGAACTGCTAGGTTGGCAGAAGTTGGGGCTAACTGGGAGCTCACCCTGCTCCTCGCATTCAAACCGCCAACCTTCCGTTCAGAAGTTCAGCTTCAGCGGTTTAACCCGCTGCACCACCAGGGGACCCAGAATATTAAGGCAGAAAAGCCCACAATGTCTGCTTTGAACTGGGTTATTTGAGGGCCCTTCCAGACTGCCCTATATTCCAGCTCAAAGCAGAAAATGTGGGATTTTATTCAGCTGTGTGGAAGGGGCCTGAGTCTTGTACATATACCTTGCTAGTAATTTCATTCAACATATTAAATAATTTTGTGGATGAAACAAAAGTTTGTGTATGTTGAACCAACAGAAAGAAAAGGTGGCATTATCTCAGCCATTCATGTGGACAATTTTGGGTTTGGAATAATTTCAGATATTGGAATTCTAGACGGAATTCCAGATGCTCATCCTATAATAATTGTGTCCAAAGGGAAATAGCATTTAGTTGTATCCACTATCAGTTTGCAAGTGTGCGTTTAACTCTGGTTACTTGGTCATCTTGCTGAAATAACTGCATTGGCATTTTCCTTGTCTTTCCTTATATCAGCTTTGTTTCCCTGTCTTCTCATTGCTGCTTCCTCATATCTCACTGTGCCTTGCTGTTAAAAATGGGTTCAAAGTAGATCTAGTCTTTTCCTTAAGCATTTCCCACAAGTGTAGGCAATAAACCATTGAATTTTGATGTTGGAACTTGTGTCACTCCAGTCCAGAATTATCAATCTAAGTGTAGATTTCCATGCTCTCTGTTGAAATTATTGGTACAAAAATTAAGTGAGAACTGACTGTGAATGCAATAACATTGCTGTCTAAAAAGAAATATTAATGATGGTTTTATTTGGGTTGTAGGTTTTTCAGCTGTATGGCCATGTTCTGCAAGCATTCTCTCCTGACGTTTCGCCTGCATCTATGGCAGCATTGGCAGGCATCCTCAGAGGTTGTGAGGTCTGTTGGAAACTAGGCAAATAGGGTTTATATATCTGTGGTTCTTTTTGTTTTAAGACCACCAGTAGATGGCACTAAGTGAACGCTGAAAAAATACATCGTCAATGCCAAACCCATATAATGCAGCTCAATTCAATTACACTGCATTATATGGGTCAACACTGACTATATAATGCAGTTCCAAACTGCATTATATGGTAGTGTAAATGGGGCCTGAGCCAAGATCACTTAGTGTATCTGATGACTCGGAGATTACAACCTGGATCCCCAAATCCCAGTCCAACATTGAGCTCGCTGTCTCACATTGAAATTAAACAACCGGGATTTCACTGATGTCCAGGTAGCTGCAACCATATTCATTGTCTTAAGATAAGGCCACAGTTGGCAAACCACTCGAAGAAGGTATGGCAACAGTGAGAGTCATGTGTACAGTTTAAAGGTATTTTTGCAGCCACCTTGCCTTAGTGAGACACCCAAAGCAGTGACTCTGTACAACAAACAAAGAAACACATCTTTTATGTTCAAAAACCACCCTGAAATAGTAAACTGCCAAACTTGGAAGCTTTTGGTTTGTGGATGGGAAGCTTTTCTTGAAACTGGCTAGATATCTGAAATACCATACCTCCTATAAACAAGTCTGCAGTGGAAGGGTCTTTTCTGTCTCCTACTACCATCCCAAGTATGTTTGAGTGACAATGTGAGAGAGAGCCTTCTCAGAGGCTGCTCCCAACTTGAGGAATTCCACCCATGGAAGATTTGGTTGGATTTTGATTTAGGCAGGCTTTTGGTTTCTGATGTTATTGTGGCAGAAGGATGTTTTTAATGAAGTCTATTATGTTTTTTTTACTATGTTTTGATGCATCTTTAACTGTTTCAATAAAGTGTTTTTAATAGAACTGCTTATTTAATTTTAAGAAAACTTTTGTATCAAGTCAGCTTACAGTGTACAAGTTTCTAACTTGATGTGCATTTTGGGTCCTGTGCAGGGAGAAATAAAGAACAAACCTGATAAATAAATAAAACTCTGCCTTCTTCCCCAATCTCCTAAAAAAAGATAAACTTACATCCCAAACCTAGAAATAAGAATCAGAAATGATTTCAGACTTTGATTCACGATCTAAAATGTATGACTTGTCATTGATGTCGAAATTGGCCCTTACGTCCACTGTGGTTGCTCAACCTTGAAATAAAGAAACCATCTGGGAATCTGTTGGCTTGTGAATTTTCTCTAGTTCAGTGGTTCCCAACCTGTGGGTCCCCAGGTGTTTTGGCCTACAACTCCCAGAAATCGCATCCAGTTTAGCATCTGTTGGGATTTCTGGGAGTTGAAGGCCCAAACATCTGGGAACCCACAGGTTGAGAACCTCTGCTCTAAATTTTGAAACTGCATATGCTACCCCGTCTGAGATCTGCTGTTTAGTTCATCAAATCTAGTTGGCTTTCCTCTATAGTAGGGGTCCCCAAATGTTTTAAGCTGAGGGCTGGCTCACAGTCCCTCAGACTGTTAAGAAGACTGGATTATAGTTTGGAAAAAAAAAATGAAAAAATTCCTATGCTCATTACACATATCTTATTTGTAGTGCAAAAACATGAAATAACAACACAGTATTTGAAATGAAGAACAGTTTTAACCAACATAAACTTACCAGTATTTCAGGGGGAAGTGTGGGCCTTCTTTTGTCTGATGAAATAATCAAGTAAATTAGGATTGTTGTTATTGTGTACCTTCAACTTGTTTCACACTTAGGGTGACCCTAAGGCAACTCTACCACAAAGTTTTTAGGTCAAAATTTACTCAAAGGCAATTTGCCATTGTCTTCATCTTAGGCTGAGAGAGTGTGACTTGGCTAAAGTCACTAAATGGGTTCAAAGCCACAGTCTGAGGTTCAAACCACTTTGCCATGCTTTCTAAATGCTGAATTCCTTCCATCCATGTCTCCTATTTACCTACCTATCTTTCTTTTTTTCTTTTCTTCCTTCCCACTCTTTTTCCTACCCCTTTCCTTTAATTTCCTTCCTTCACCTCTCCTCCATCCGTCTTTTTCATTCCTTCCTTCTTCCCTTTTTTCCTTTCCTCCTTTCTTCTTCCCTCCATTTTCCCTCTGTTTTCCCCTTCTTTATTCCCTCTTCCCTCCCTTTTCTCCTTCATCCCCCCTTACCTTCCTTATCTCCCCGTTTCCCTTCCCTCTTTCCTTTTCTCCTTCTTTCTTCCCTCCTTTTCTTCCCTGCTCACCTCTTCCCTTCTTTCTTTCCCTTTTCTCTTTCCTTCCTTCATTCCCCTTCCTTCCCTCCCTTCCCTCCCTTTTCGTCTTCCTTCATTCCTTTTTTTCCCTTCCTTCCCTCTTTCCTTCCTCATTCCCTTCCTTTTTTCATGAATGTCAATGGTGTGAGTGGAGTGCAGGAGTGATAGGAGAGGTGGGAATGGGACGGGGGCCTTGGCAGGCTGCAGTTTCATAGCCCCTACTCTATAACATAGAAAATCAGTACACAGTTCGTACCTCAGACTATTTCCCTTGATATAATAACTGCTCGTAACTAGTAGTCTTCTCTTTTTCTTCTGAATAAATGGTGGCTTCTGGAGGCTTTTGATGGTCCAACTTATCCATCTTACCCTCTTCTTCTACCTCATTTTGGTCAAAG